GAAAAATTGGCAGAATTCGGTACTTGTTCTGGTAAGTTTCATGCCTGTTTGATATGTGGATAAAGAAATGGAGCAGAATTCGAGGAATTGCCCGCCATGAGGTTTGTATGGTTCTGCCAATTTTACTGCTTTTCGAGCAGAATCTACCACCTTTTCGAGCAGAATCCGCGGGTCCCTAACGCTGAGGAGCACTTTGGCTCTACTGACCACCACTGCACCAGAGTACTCATGGCATAGGAGTTCTGACAGAAAGTGTTACCATTCATTTCTTTCGAGCTTCGGGCGCTCTTATTATTTTATGAGTGTTTTTGTTACTATACAGGAGCATAACGCGATCTAAGGATTAGTCCTAGCTTAACTAACCGTGACGCATATTGCTCAGAGCTTTCCCCCAGACCATGAACTTGACAACAGTTTGATCAGCGAACATTCTTGGATTGCATTCGTCATGAAGAATTTGGTGATAATCAAATTATAATTGTCTTGCATGCACACTACATACACATTGTACTTCATAGCGTTCATTAGTTTTCCGTTTTCTTAAATTGTGTTGATCTGTCTTTGGCACTCGCGGCCATCTCCTATTGCGTTACAGCAGCTAATTTGGAAGTTGTTCAGGTTCTCCGCATAGTTGAACTAAGACGCATTTACGCGAGAGAGAGAGAGAGAGAGAGAGAGAGAGATCGAGAGAGAGATCGAGAGAGAGAGAAAAAAAGAGAGAGATAGATAGAGAGGGACGGAGTGAGTGAGTGTGAGAGAGAGAGAGAGAGAGAGAGAGAGAGAGAGAAAGAGAGAGAGAGAGAGAAAGGGAGAGAGAAAAAAAGAGGGAGAGAGAAAAAAAGAGAGAGAGGGAGGGAGGGAGAGATCGAGAGAGAGTAGTTACATTTATAAAGACAGGTAAGTCTAACAAATGAGGACCGAGACCTCTACAACAGAGTTTTACGCCTGAAAGCAGGTGCATGGTTTAACAAGCAGGTTGTCAGTATAGATTTTATGCGCAGATGGAGAAAAAAATGCACAGAATTTTTGTAAAGAGATGAAAAGCAGGAATAATAAGAAATAATATTAAAGAAAAGATGAAATGAAAGCCTGCTCACAACCCCGCCCAGCCTTGCGAACTGGGTATGGTGGATTAAGAACACGGTTCAACGCTCGAGCAAGCGCTCTCCACTCAAGGTGTTCACAGCAACTGATAGAAACTCGTATGGGAAAATTGTAGAAAAGAAATAATAAGATAACGAGAATAAATTTCAACGCACCTCAATAAACGGAGCCCCACATACAGTACCTCAGAAAAGTGGATCTTCCGACCAGTGTTTTTGTTGACGTCGCAACCAGATGATGTAGCTGCTTCGGAGAGACGTCTTACCGCGCAAATTACAAATAAATTTTATTCTTCGATTAGAAAACCCAAGCCCTTTCAGAGCCCTCCGAAGAGAGAGAGAGAGATCGAGAAAGAGTGTGTGAGAGAGAGAAAGAGAGAGCGAGAAAGAGAGAGAGAAAGAGAGAGAGAGAGAAAGAGTGAGAGAAAAAAGAGAGAGAGGAAGAGAGGGAGGGAGAGAGAGAGAGAGAGAGAGAGAGAGAGAGAGAGGGATGGAGGGAGGGAGGGAGAGAGAGATCGAGAGAGAGAGAAAGAGAGAGAGAGAGAGAGAGAGAGAGAGCTGGGAGATAGAAGAGCACAGTTCTCTTGGTGATGGGGACTGCGAAGGATAGCAGGTTCTGGGACATGGGCATGAGAATACGAATATTGGTGATGGTGGCAGCAGGGTTATAAGGTAAGCAGCTGAACACTAAAAAGAACAGGGAAAGCGTTGGCAAGCAGATTCAAATTGCATCTGGTTCAAGTCCAGCCTGGGAGCGGTTTTTTCAGTCGTGCTGCTACCCACAGTCAACTGGGAACTTGTGGCCAGGCCCAAGGGGTACATGGATGCAGATAATGGGGTCGTTCTCGGCACTTGTGCCAGTGGTTGTGAGACTTATCCACTCATCCCCACCGTTAGGCGCTGCATCTGCCGCTAGGGTTTACCGGATGTTAGCGGCCGTCGTGAGTTCCCATCGGGAACGGACACGATAATTTACATTTAGTAAATTACTTTTTACTTTATTAAGTAGTGGTTGCGACTTCGGCGATGATTTGTAAGAAAGGTTTGCTCCCCACACCGAGAGTCGTGAGTCAGTCAAGTGTCAAGTAAAGTCGGCGGAATAGCGCGAGCTCCGGTGTGGGGAGCAAACCTTTTTTACTTTATTACTATAAGATTCAAATAACTTCCAGAAAACGTCATTTTGTATTGCAGAACCTCGCAAGTTTTCATTCACGAAATAGATTTTCTCGTAATATGACTGCCACCAAAAGTAATAATTGGACGTACGTGGTAGAGTTTGTCCACGAAATTCACTCTCTGCAAAGTCCACTGTAGAGACACCTCTGATGGCCTTTTTTTAGTATTCCTGTTTCTTTTGTTGTTGTTTTTCTCACTTCATCTAGTTTTTGGTTTGCTCCTTCTTTTTCCCTTTTTATCTCCTGATGATCGGTTTTTCGGGCCTCTTTGTAGTATAACACTGTACTGTTGAGCCACCGAAGCAAAAATAAATTGAATACAAAATACAATAGCATATTACTACTTCGATGTAGCAGCTAACAATTTCTAGGCAGATTGTGAGGCGAGTGGGAAAAATAGAAATTCGCAGATCAAAATGGACTCGACGTCACCGCTGGTGGCATATACCAGGGGAGGCGGACCTCTTTAAGATATTTGTTAGTGGTGAAGGCAATCGGAGAAGTTACACAAAGAAAAAAAATGAACTACTGGTAACAGACAAGGTATGTAATGTAATTCTACGACTGCCCAAGCTTAGCTGGGCAGTTCCTGGCGACTTGTCAGTTCGTCCAGTACGTCTCTGAGTTCCTCGGATAGGGACGTCAGCTGAGCATGGAGATCAGCTAAGGAGACGAACGCACTGGGAATTCTACCGTTCTTGTCAGATGCATTCTCACCCTCGGTGGCGTGGATACGTGCTGCCTGCAAGTCATGCAGGATTGGGTTTCCTCCAATCCTAAACTGGGGATGGCTGACGAATGGTTGGGGGCTGGTATGATGCTGGTATTGTTGAAGAGAAGGATGATGATGATGATGATAAGGCGGTGGGTGCGGCTGCACGGGGTGATTAGTGAGTGGAGGTAAGTGATGCGGACGATATGGGAAGTGATGCTTGATGATGTCCACTAGTTTTTTTGGTTTGATTTGGTGATGATTGTCACGTGACCCTTCCTCTGGCATCTCATGGGGTGTAATGTGCCACGGCGGTGTCTTCTTGGGATCAGCTACATGGAGGTATGATTCGTAGGAAACGGCTGGATGCTGGTGAAACGATGGTACATGTACTTCAGGCAGTGTTAATCTTCCAACTAACCCTGTCCCTGTGTGCTCTCCCACCTCGCGCGCCGCATCTCTGCCACGCCGAATGGCCTTACGGAGCATCTCGAGCAGATGAGCCTGCGTCAGCGGTCCATTCTTGGACCTGAGTTTGGCGAGGCACCTCTGCAGCGACATCCTACTGGCTGACAAGCAATGCATCTTCTCTGTGTTGAGCATCTCCTGGCTCGCCCGCTCAAGAATACTCAGTGCCTCCTTATCGGTGAAGAATCCGACGGCATTCCCGCTGGAACAAGAAAGCATCAATACTCCGACGAGAAGGAGCCACATGAACCATTCCCTAGCCATTGAGATATGGCAGTTACGCAACCATACATGCCATTGAGAGAAGGTAGATCAAGGAATATCTTGGGAGAGTAATCATCCTCGCGTATGCACCACTGTATTATGAACTCTTTTCCGCAATCGATCTGTTTTTAGGGTTCGCTCAGCCGCAGGAGTTGGGTAAACCCATGCGGTGGATCATTCTGTGTCTGATGACCAGCATCCTGTGTACTGCCAAGTGTTTGCAACGTCGGGACATGCATGCAGCTGACAGATGAAGGATATCATCGTCTCTTCCTGTGCATCACTTAGGCCTGTACATACACTATGCATACCGCGTACCGGTAGGGGATGTACATACATACAGGGAGTGCTGGCAACTGAAATCCGACCCCCTACCGCCTCGTACGAATCGCTAACGCGGTTAGCGCACCGCTAGGGGCTCGGATTTCAGTTGCCAGCACTGTACATACAGTGCTGGCAACTGAAATCCGACCCCTGGCCGGGTCGGATTTCAGTTGCCAGCACTGTACATACAGGGTATGTACATGAACTATGATTATGTACAGGTTGATCATTCTGAATGGGCGCAGGATGGTGAACACTACTACCATCAGCTTGGAGCGTCCGAGTGTGACGGAAGTGTTTGCTGTTCATGCTGCAGTCACCCACCTCCTAACATATCGACTAGTCGGACTACAGATACGAGGTCACTGCTATAGTACTCATGGATGTGACTGACACCGTAAAGCTAGAAAGAAGACACGAACGAGAAGCGTATGCCTGGAGACTAGATAAGCATATCACGTGACTGTACGTCTGTAGGTGTCGAAGCGTTGAATATGCAGATCATGCATAACGCTACTAGTATCTTATATTGTCAATAGGCAAAAGCCTTCTACACGTTCGCAACACAGTGTTCGCGAGTCTGTGACTGCACATAGCCCGGACCTAGCTTATTGGGGTGTGCGGTGTTCATGTTGATTGTTGGTAGCAACGGCTTCGATTTGTGATTTGAAGTATTCAGCAGCACAGAGTCTCATACACAGCCCCTGATTACCGCCATTTTCTTTCTTGCACAGCGCATGCACTCTCATCCCCACAGCACCCACATGGACACTCCCACCTACGCGCACACGCACACACTCTCACTCTCTCTCTCACACACACGCACACATACACACACTAAGTTGTACACACATATTATACAAACACATAAGCACACCCTCACTCACTCACGCACAAACATACAAACACACTCCCACGCACAAACACACACACACACACACACAATAGCACATCTCCGGAGGAGGACTATAACATCATGGTACCCGGCTGTGTGAGGTTCTCGTGAGTATAAGTGAACACTGTTCGTCTATTCCAAGCACAACTAGAGATGCCAACAAAATAATAACTGTTAGCCAGCGAGAACGTATGTTGACATTGTGAAACGCGGATTGTGAAAGACAAGTAGTATTGTAATCATGACTGTGCGAGAAAAGACATAAGCGGGATGCAAACAACAAACATAACCTTTCCAAATTACCACCAGACCAAAGCTAAAGAATCCCCAGCGACAAGCACTTGGAGAGATGTACCATAATTTACTTGGAAATCGGGCGTGAAGCTGCTCTGCGTGTGAAATTGGATCCAATGCGACGTGACCACAACCAACCCTGATAGTAACAACCCCTTCTGATACATGTCTGGCGAATTCGTATCGCAATAAACCATGATCAGTGAGTAAATATTTCAGCTGGACAAGCAGGACGCCAGAGACTGGTTAGGCATGGTGGTATTTGCTGATAACTTCAAGGATCTTGTTGACCTTGTCGTTGAGTTGCGAGAGCTGACTGTGCATACGGTCAATGGTTGCCTTCGTCTTGTCCGTGAATACTGGTTTCTTATGCGTGGTGGCCGCAGGATTCGGAGCAGAAGGTTGAGGCGCTGTGGGGTGTTTCGCCGGTTCTTCGTGAAAGTGATACGCTTCGGGCGGAGGATTGGGTTCGTGGTGTGGAGTCGGGTGCAGTGCTGGCCCCTTGTGCTGGGCAGGTTGCTGGGCCGGCTGTTGGGCCGGGTGCTTGGCCGGTTGTTTTGCCGGTTGCTGCGGTGGGTGTTGTGGCGGTGGGTGCTGAGCGGGATGATTTGGTGGAGGTTTCGGAGCAGAAGGGTGAGGTGTGGTAGGATGTTTCGCAGGTTCGTCGTGATAGTGAAACGCTTCGGGTGGAGGATTGGGTTCGTGGTGTGGACGCGGGTGCGGAGCTGGCTCCTTGTGTTGCGCAGGTTTCTGTACTGGATGTTGTGGTGGAGGGTTCTGAGCGGGGCGTTTTGGTGGAGGGTTTTGAGCGGGATGATGTGGCGGAGGTTTCGGAGCAGAAGGGTGAGGTTTGGTAGGATGTTTCGCAGGTTCGTCGTGAAAGTGATACGCTTCGGGTGGAGGATTGGGTTCGTGGTGTGGAGGTGGGTGATGCGGCGCTGGCTCCTTGTGTTGGGCAGGGTGCTGTACTGGGTGTTGCGGTGGAGGCTTCTGAGCGGGGTGTTGCGGTGGAGGCTTCTGAGCGGGGTGTTGCGGTGGAGGCTTCTGAGCGGGGTGATGTGGCGGAGGCTTATGCTGAGTGGGGTGATGGGGTGGTGGTTTGTGTTTCGGTGTCTTTGGATGAGGGGCAGGGTGCTTGGGTGGCTTGTGCTCAGCAGGTATTTTCTGCGCAGGGTGCTGAGCACGAGCATTGCCGATGCCCAAATGCTTGGCCAGAATTTTCAACTCCCTAGTAGTTCCAGCATGAGCAGCATCATCGCCCCTGCGTAGCGCCACCATGATGGATGTTTTCAGCCAATGATCGTTGATAGGAATGTGGCGCTGATGCAGGGTCAACAGCAAGTGTCCGAACACCTTCTTGCTTTCGCCCAGGAATAGCCCGGATCGGTACTTTTCCATCTTGCTTTCAGCCACGGATAGAATATGCAGTGCCTCTTTTGCCGTTAAGGTTTTCCCAGTGACCTTGGATCCACCAGAAAGCAGCATCAGCAACATGCCCAGTAGCCCGATGAGATGGCAGCTGACCTTCATCCTGGGGCTGAAACGCGCCTTACCCAAATTCCGTTGGTCTTCAGCAGTGAACGAATGCGTTTTCACGATCCGCTTGGACAGCTTTTTTTGGTAACGCGGAGACCTCTCTATCTATATGTGTATCCTGAAAATCGTGTCTACTTTGACGGAGTGTACAAGGACTGAAAAGACAACACATCAAGTCAACAGGCTGACCAAGGACAAATAACACTTTCCAAGATTTCGCTTCACTATATGGTACACCGTGGAGTAAGAGCTGATGCAGCTGGCAGGCGGCAGGAAGCGAAACCTTCGGCGTCGTGAGTATTGATCCTAGTCAAGGTAGGACTCGATGGTTACTGGCCGCCCGGATGTGTGACAGTAAGCAGCTTACAGCCCTCGTTGTACTGGTGATGCTGACGCGATGGTGGTAGGAAGGATGCAATGGTGGCGGTCAGGAAAACTCGCAGTACTGTATTGATGTTTCCATACCGATGAGTTTTTGTGTTTTTCATTAACTGTCTGCACTTCATGGTACATGTATATGATTTTTTTAATTAATTTAATTTATTTTTTTAGTTTTCTTTATACAAATAACCTACGTGGAGATAATAATTTTATTATAGCTATGAATAGGATGAAGGCCGCAGACATCACGCAACTACGTTACTTGTTTGACATGTATTACTTTATATTAAGGATTCCCCAAAGGCTGTTCCCCGGTCGAGGGGTTTCCTGTTTTCGCTTAATTGATGAGATCCGCGCGGTGAGGAAACTGGTAAGAGAAAGAGGAAGAAAAAAAGAAGAGTAAGAAAGGAAAAAGAAGAAGCAAGCCAAAACCAGATTGGAGTAAAAATAGGAGAAATTTAAGGCACACAAAGCATGATGAATCAAAGGAAGATGAACGATGGAAGGATAGCAGCGTTTCTAAGGAATAACTCGACAGTGGAATTTATATTTAAACAGCTGGAGGCGGGCTTGCTTCTTAAAATCAGACAGGGAGGATAAAGAAGAAAAAGAGAGGACAAAATATTTGATATCGTCCATTGCGGGTAACTGCAAGCTTGGTTGGCTTACGCTCCCTTTTCGTAACAAGTATTTCAAATTGTCATAGTTTACGCTTACGAAGAGGGATTCAAGCAGTGTGAAATGCATACTTTTGCACGTGTTTGCGAAGAGTTTTACGGAACCAAGGAAGAGACGTGATATTTTTGGGATATAGTTCCACAGTATGCATATTTTATACAAGAAGAGTTTAGAAATGTGCGGCCATGTGAATTAAAGTTGATCTTGTTGGGCTGTCTTGGGCTGCAGCTGAGCGTTAAGTCAAACTGGGTTAGATATTCAGGATATTCACTGGTTTGAAGGAAAGACATATTCAGAATATTTAGTAATATACTAATATACTTAAACAAATGACGAAAAGCCCATGAATAGTTAAGAACTCAGATGGTGAGGCAAGGAAAAATGTATAACATGGAAATTGTGGGCACAAGTTATGCGGTCGAGTCCACCAACTAAACCAGATTTGAACAGTCAGATGTGCACAACGGACAAGGATTGTGCACGTCTGACGGTACAAAGTCTGGTTTAGTTGGGGGACTCGATCGCATCACTTGTGCCCACAAGTTCCATGAATTTTCTTCGACAATGTAGAGATTCTCGCATGGCCATGGCAATAAAGTTTGATTTGCGTTCAGTCCGGTAAAAAGATATTCTCTTCTTTTGTAGATATCTTCTGACGACTGTGGCCTGGAGCACATCAAGGTCGGTGAGCTGGGCCTTAGTTAGGGTGAAGCTCTATATTGAACTAGCGTACTCAATGGGTGGTAGGCATCAGCGGGTAATGCTAGTACATGTATTAAAACTAGCATAATGGGGGTGTTCGCAGAAGGGGGGGGGGGGCATTGCCCCGGCATAATGAGGCATTTTTGGAGAAACTAGCATAATTCGCGATTTGCAGCATCGCATGGCCAGAGAGTCGTAGAATACAGTGCTCCCTGATAAAATGCATATACCTGTACGTGCCACATGACCATCCCAACCCAAACTATACCATTGCGTACAACGATGTTGCCTTTGTTCGAGTAGTAGTAGCTACTAGTAGTCTACCACCGATCAATCAATTTTTGCGCACATATCTTTATACCTACTTTGGAAACAGACTTTTTCGCGTACTCTTCTGCGATTTGTTTGCTGTATTTGGTCATGTATTGCTACTAGCATAAAGCGCCCTAAACTAGCATAAAAAGCATTAAAACGAGCATAATATCCTGTTTTTGCTGGCATTCTGAAAAGCATAATCGGCTGAGTTTACTAGCATTACCCGCTGATGCCTAATGGTTGGTCGTACGTATCCTTAGTAGAGGGTCATGATGGTGGATGCAGTGAGGTGTTTGCTCATGAAGTATAGCAGGTTGACGCTTTGCTGGTATTTTGTGTGAACTCGTTTGTAGTGTGCTGTGAAGTTCAGGTCGGTGGTGAGGATCATGCTGAGGTATTGGTGTGTGGATAATGGTGGTAGTGTCTGCTTTTCAAAGTTAACCAGTGGGCCATCACAATGGCTGAGCACTAGCGTTTTCTCAGGAGCTAATCGACCGTTTCTGAGGTTTGCCCAACTCTGACAAGCTTCAAGATCGGCTGTGAGATTCTGGCTGCAGTTGGGTTTGGCTTGTGTAGTGGGATGGGTAGAAAATAGGGTCACGTAATCAGCAAAGATTTATGGTGTTGAGTGCTTCACCATTAGAGGTAGGTCGTTGATGTATAATTATAAGATATAAAATTGGAGCGAGATGAGACCCCTGAGGCACACCAGACATAAACACGTTTGGAGTGGATTTAGCATCATCAAGCTAGACGGAAAGTTGGCGAGAATCCAGGTAGCTCTCTAGCCATTTGTAGCTTTGAGCTTCGGTGATGTCATGGAATTGCGCAACGCGAACTTGAGGATCAACACGGTCAAATGCCTTCTGGAAGTCCAGAAAGTGTACATAATTATAATCCCAACCTCTGTCCGTACATTTTGCCATCTGGTGGGTAAGCAACACTAGCTGATCTGTAATAGATTTGTGACGGGTGTAGGCGAACTGTTTTTAATTTATGTAGTTGGTTGTGACAAGATGTTGGGATAGGCCTTGAGCAGGGCAGTGTTCGAAGACCCTTGTTATGGGTCCAAGAAGTGAGATGGGGAGGTAGTTTGTTGGATCGTATTATATCTTTGAAGAAGGGCTGAGGTTTCGTGCAGCTTCATGTCTGAAAGGAATTCGGGTGGACACACCCATTCCCATATCGCTGCACATCCGAACCAGTTCCGTTATTTTTACAACGTTTCGGCACTTGGCCATCGTCAGGTAATAACAATGAATTATAATAACAATGTACCAGTATTATATATCCTTTCGTTTATAAAATTGGTTTGGCGAGGCCTCTTTTATTAAAAAGATAGCTGAGAGATTCACACAAGATATCTCCTGTGTTACGTAGTATTGAGATCAGCTCCGGATCAGATGTGGCTTTGTGTTGCTGTAGATGGGAAGGTGCGTGAACACAGTTCGTACTTCAATTGGTTTGAAGTGAAATTTGTCGTTGGGAGATGAGATGCCGCACGTGGAGTAATTGTTGTTGCATCTGTTGAAGCTGTGCATTGATCTGCGTATATTCAGTAAGTATTCAGAGAGGAGTTCTGCTTTTTCCATTGGGGTCTTTGCTGTGATTCCTCTGTGTTGGACAGTTGGGATCGGTTAAAAACAAATATTTTTGATGTTGCAGAAATCCTATTATAATATATATAGCCTTTTTCCACCACTTGTATGTGCCTCGTCGATTTTGCTGTTCCATCCGATGGGCTAGTGCGTCACTGTGTTTGTCCTTGGCGGTTCTCACTTGTTGGCGGTAGTAATGAAAATAGCCAATACAAGGAAGTTGGAGTAGTGACCATTGGCACATTCCGGTGATCGACAATTATGTGGCACAATAATTACGCGATGTGAGGCACTAGTGCCTCATTCTTCTTTTATCGTGCCTCGGAAAAGAAGGCCAGTCGATGTAGGTGTTCCGTTTCATCTTCTACGCTAAAATATGTGTCCATGAGAAATTTAAATAGCTCTAGCACGTCCCCATTGGGGCCATAACGGCCACCACGTAGAATTCATGCAGTCGTATCGCACTACAATGCACCAGCTATAGAGTACACGTACATGTAGTTCATGTGCAGTTGGACCCAAGACGGCTTTAAAGCAGTGTTCGATAGACAAACATGCATTCATCGGCAAGCAATCGCTATTCCTCTTGGCAACTCACACGACTTTAAAAGTCTTTGAGGTGCGGCGTTTGTGAAAATTAAATTTGTTGTTGCTCTTACTTGAAGTGCACATACATGTACTTCTAACACAGAAGATCGGTGAGAACTAGGTTTTGGTTGCAATTGGGAATTTCACTCAGCGCAATCTTCAGCACGAGTACTACTGTGTCACGGTCACTGGCATTGTACGTAGGAGGATAAGAGAAGATTGGAGTTAATACATGCATGTTATTGAGCATCACAGAATACGGGTTAGAGTGTGTCGTGTTATTAATTATCGGAGACCTTTTTTGGCTCATTCATGTTTACTGGCATACACATGTCAGTAATAAACGCCAAACATTGGCTTGAAACATAAAAAGAGTGAATGTCATACTCAGACGATCGTACGTACAATGTATTGGGAAAAACTATCCAGGGCTCTCCCAATCATGGGCCTTTCACACATTAATGGAGTCGCTTATACAATCTTAAGGCCCATGGCGTACTCTTGGCCAGCTATGTCAGCCCTTTTGCTCAGAGCTCCTCGATACCGTGCATTATTGTGAGAGCGGGCCGCAGTTGTTACTGTGTAGGGAGCTCGCTCCGGCTCGAAGTCTGGTAGAGTTCGACGACCGTGCTGGAGTTGACGTGCTGCCGAGCGTCGCGCCGTCTGGCATCCATTTACCTCTTGATCTGCAAGAGCATAACAATCATGATGCGAACACATACTAGTCTTAGTCAGCCTGGACCCTGCGCATGAATCATCAATACACTCAACATTTTCAGTGCAAGGGGGACGACCAGGCAAAACACAGAGCTCAATAACCTAGGGTTCAGAGCCGGCGAGAGTTCGAACACGAAGTGTAAAAAAAGAGAGTAAACAATAATGTTCTTTCTCCTCACCGTCCTGTGATCCCAGCATTCGTTTTCCAGTATTGACATTGCCGCACGCGTCGCGCAGCAATCGACTGCCGACCAGGCCGAAGACATTCGCCACTTCTCCAGTGTGATAGGAATCCCTTCGCTGCATAACGCCATCTGCACAAAGAGCAGTGATGTTTGGAATGCAATGCTTGGAATACACCACGTGAAGCAACGCAGAGTCGTTCATATCCTATTTTCCTGCCTCGGTTTGTCTGTGCAGACACCAACACCACCAGGGACGGCTGAGCAGCAGATCCCCTGCACTGCGTTCCGCATTTAATTGGGAGCATAGTCGATTTAGTAACAAGTATGGCAGTCTACACGAGCCCACCCACCACACCACACGCTCTACTCTATCTCGCTGCACATCCATCACTTCTTACCAGCAACGAGATTGCAGATTGTCAGATTGTTTCCAGCGAGATAGAGAATGTGATGATCGGCGTGTTTCGAGCGTCATTTAAAAGACTAACACGACGTTGTATTGGAAATGTCTTGTGCCTTTTCGACACATAAACAAAGGAAGAAACAAGGTGTCCCTCCAATGACTATAGTGAGTTGCATACTCAGGACAAACACTATAAGAGAGCCCGTAAAAAGCAACTACTGATCACAAACGCCATAAGCGAGAGCTACATGTTATGCACCTTTATGTTTCATGAACGATTTCGGGGGCCATCGCATGAGATGGATTACTGGCATATAAAATTCAATCCAATAACTCAATCTAACTACACAAACTGCAGAGTTGGTCTTGATAGCTCTCTAACCTTACCGGAGATTCGGCGATCCAGTGATCGTCTTGTTATTGTCCAATCGTACTCATTCCTGACAGCCCTAGCCCTGTCATTGCGACCTCGAGGCAGAGCGTGTGAAGTGGTTAGAGTAAGAAGAAAAAGAGCGAGAAGGGAACAACGGCCGAGCAGCAGAGTTGATAACATGGTTGCACCAGTACTCGGAACACACACACGCACTGATCTGTTCCAACGAACCAACTGATGTTACACTCTCTACGCTAACTCTGAACTGCGACACTGACCAGCGTGGCACAAACAGGAGAAGATAATCGTTGCAGAGCATAGCCAAAATCTTCCCTGACAAACCCGTATCCTCACCCGTTGAGCAAAAACCAAAATAAAGACAGCTTGCTTTAGGCACACGTGAGTCGTTCACTGCATTTCATGGCTCCATCAGTCAGCTGCAGGAAGTAGGGTTGGACAGAATATGTGGAATGTCTTGAAATCAAGCCACTGCAGGGTGTTATTTGGGACAAGCCTCAGTCCCCAACTGGGAAGCTAGTACAAACCGGTGAATCGTATAAGAAGCGCCTCAAAGAAATTCAGAAATCACTTCGCCATCAGCACAATAGTAGCGAAGCACTTTGAATATTGCTGAACAAAAATGGCGACCATTCAATGGAAGGTGATCGGAGTTTTCATGCTCACTATCGCCGTTAGTCACGCTCGTCCGTCGCTAAACATTGACGGAGCGGATGCAGCCCTTGAAGACGAGTATGACTACAACCTTGACGAGCTGAACGACGGTAATAACTGGTTAAGTATTTTTTGTAAAGAGACTGTCCGAGAGCGTATTGATCTTCGGTTTGTATATTTACATGTAAATGTCGCTGTCTGATCATCTATTATTATGCATTTTGATTTTGAAACCTTATGCCGCTCAACGTCGCTTCGTCTGGGGTGTCGTATGTGTGTGTGTGTGTGTGTACGTAATTTTCACTTGGATTTACCGTGGCAAGAGTTTATAATTATGTCATGTCGACTGGAAATCCTGAAAATTGACATTATCTTTCTATGCACACCATAAACCACAGTCAGAGAGAGATAACTCTGATATCTCGCCAAGGGTTGATATTAAACGTTTATTGCACTATTATCAAACACATCGCCACACTATAGCTGCAAAGTTACTTCACCAGTTTCGTGTCATTGTGCATGTGTAACACTAAAGACAGTCATTTCAATTATTGGAAGCGTTTAATTTAAGACAATATGCATTTCAGTGGTTCACTGGTTATATACCAGATAAGTTGCACTGAACAGCAATACAATGTACATATTATGTGCGTGTCATTAGAGGCCAGGTCTAGTGTGAAATCACCAGTCAATGCTGTTTTGTTTTGCGTTCGTCCAGGTGAATCAGATATGGATTTTTCCAGTGAACTTGGCTACCGCAGCAGTGATTCGTTCAGTGAGTACCTCTTTAATAGATCGCAACATCCAGGTTTTCTTTCAACCAGTACATCTTCAGTGGGTGTTTTTCTTGCCTAGAGCATATCAAGTAAAACGAGGACATAAAACAGTTTATCACATGTCACGTGAGTGTTTCCTTGGATCGGGCCAATCACTGATCTGTATGAGCGGGCAATAAATCAGTCCAACGCCCGCGTCCAAAGCCCGTCGTCAGTGACAACCCTGACTGAGACTGTACGCGTGAAATCTACGGGATGTGAACGCGTGGTCGAAAGTGGCGATCTCAGCTTTCTTCGCGTGACTAAGACGACTCTGTAGAATGTACGACTCTACGACGAGTCGCAGTGTAGCATTGAGACGAAGATGGAATTCTTTTTGGAGATGGACATCCCGGCAATGGGCATGGCCTCGGACGTCTGCCGTGTGGTGCTTGCAGGGATCATTTGTTCAGTCATGTTGGCAGCCTGACCGTCGGGAAGCTTTTGGATAAGATTCAGTTCTGCTCGAAGTGGTACTGTGATCACAAACAATTATTTGAAATAGCACAAATTCAACTCAGCGTCGTGCGTTTTCAGATCCTCGCTGTGTGTGGTCTTCATGTACCACGCAAAACTCTTACCAGGCTCATCTGTCCTCTGCTTTCACCTTTGCTTGAACAACAAACACAACAATTCAGGAATGTTTTGCAATGAAAAATACAGCTATCTGGAGCTGAAAAAAGAAGAAGAAAAATTGTCCTCAGAATTACACACCAGGGAGTCGTCAAATACTTGCACTTGTTGCAGTACTGTATTTGACAGCTTCCTGATACACATGTAAACATGAAGAAAGTCTTTGTGGTAGCACTCTTAATTTTGCAACTGAAATTATGATTCTGCTGTATTTATTGTCGTTGCCATGTCTATTGCTATGACGATGCGGTGCCGGCACTTTTTTCTGTCTCCGTCTTTCAGTACTGTATACGCTCTGATGGCCTGTAGCAGACTTTTTGTTAGGGTGTAGGAGAAATATCTTCATTTTTCCTGTTTTGATAATGATAGCACATCAATATACATTGTGGTCATACTGTGTTGGCATTTGGGCTAATTTCAACAGCAGCCCAATGGTCTGCTCTGTGGGCCATGTGATAAATTTGTTATCGCATGGTTGCTGCGGGCCTTATGGCATATTATTGCCCCGAGAGGTTAGCCCGAGGGCCGTAGGCAATAATATGCCATAAGGCCCGCAGCAACCATGCGATAACATATACGTATACAGTCGCTAAATATAAGGAACACGGGATGGTGAAACGGATATTTGTATACCGGTAATTGAAGTGTGGGTTTTGGCCTTTAACAAAATTTCCCAAACTGGGGCTTCAAAACGACGGAAGAACAGTCGGCGTATTGTATCTAAAGACCTGGAGGTATTAGTAGCTCTTGGCGGCTAATGCAGTTAGGCAAACCGGCAGTTATGTTCCCTGGTATATTTCATGTATGTTATGTATGGTATATGAAAAAAGAGGAGAGCCGACTGCATTCGAGGAATTGCCCGACACTAGCTTCTTATGGTCCTGCGAATACCCACCAGCTTCTTCCTGAGGGTTACTGGTGACTGCACTCGGTGAGCAGCACATCACCTTCTACAAGTACCTTTTCGTCCCGGTCCTGCGGATTCAGCGACCATGCAGTTCATGGGCGCAGTCCTGCGGAACCAGCTCCCGCCTGATCTCCGTTCCGAGCCCAGCCACCTTCAGTTCTGTGCCCTGCTAAAAGCGCATCATGGCTCCGTTTAAATGCTTTTCGGCTATTGTGTTTCTGTAAAAGCGCATCATGGCTCCGTTTAAATGCTTTTCGGCTATTGTGTTTCTGTGGTATAGCGGACTGAAGAATAGGAAACGTGCTTCGCAATATTTGTATGATGCTCCTCTACATATTATAATGGTACTCACATATTTCCATTCCGTTTTTGCTTTAGTGTAGCCTTGAGGTTGACTCACTTATCTATTGTCTACCCTTCCTCTCTCCGTATTTCTGTCCCCCGCTCTCTCTCATTCCCTCTGTCGTCTACATTATTGTATCAAAGGAGGCGAAACCGCCTGTTTGTGGTGCGACGTTTTAAATAAACTTCTACAACAATTAACAACAACGATACGCTCGAGATTACACTGGAGAGGAAGAAATCAAACTACGCGAGTGTTTGGAATGCCTATGGAACTGTCATGGATTCTACAAAGCATTTAAAATCCTTCTACAATCCAAGTTGCTAGTTACTGCCAAATGTGAACCATACGTTGATTACTAAGCCGAACGATACAAACATGCAGCATATGAAACAAGGCTATGTTCTCGTTGTTACTCAGAGTGAGTTTCGTGGCCATTTGGCCAATCATCGGAAAGAACATGATATGAATCATTCCTGTATGAATATTCTTTAGTTGAGGGAATGAGAAAGGGAATGAATATTGGTTAGAACATGGATTGGTAAAAAGGAATATTTCATGATCATGATCATGATCATTATTCGATTCAATTTGCAAATTTATGTAAAACCTATGTGATTTGTAAACTCGGATACTGAGCCAGTAATAAATGTATAAAAAGAGAAGAAACACATGCGAAAAAGTTATGCAGCAACTTTCTGACTGTTTATCATCTTGTTACAGTCGTGGATAGTTGCTGCATAACTCGTTCTCATGTGTTTCTTCTCTCTTTTACTATGCGATTTATTCCTGCATTTCACCCGTAGTGGGCGATCCATTCCGTCGCCTTGGCATCGTTCCATACATCACACCAATGGATCCAAGAAAGCTAGCCGCAATGGTGACGAAGCATGGCAAGTACAGTGATGATGGCGTATCCAGGAGAAACCTACCTTACGTTCCTCTCAATTCCAGTACTCTGGCTTTGATGCTTGACGATGGTTTAACACCCCGTTGTTTTGTTACTAGACCTCATTGTGATCGTTTGGGCCTGTGACTACTTGACGTAATGAGGCCTACTCGTGTTTCATGGTTGATCTTACATATAGAGTATAATTATACAGAACAGAACAACAATGTTGCCTGATGATTGCGAGCGCATGAAACTTCAAGTCGCAGCAAACAAGCCTTGATTGTCCTTGTTCTGTTCTGTATTACCCTCTGCCCCCGCGGTGTTGAGCACTGTCAGCTCACTGGGTACACCCTGCAGTATAATTATACATGTATACTGCAGCTGAGCCAGCTTTGATTTCAGTACAATACTCCCTGATGAAGACCGAAGGAGGAACATTTGGAAGATTATTTAATTTTAAATGCAGTGGATGACCTTGGTTGAGAAGGTGTTGGAAAGATGAGATATATACAGGTGTAACATCTGATTGTTCGAAGATTGAATGTTACAGAAATATACATTCACGAGTAATCCTGCTTTCCTTATTGCTACTTCGAAGTACTCTTTTGTGCGATCTATGCCCACAACAAATGCATGGTAGGACGACTTTTTTATTTCTTATTTTTTTAACTATGATGTTTTTTCTGGCAACGGCGGGGAACCCTTGGAATATCATTTTTCACTGTTAAGAATCTCAGATACATTTTACTAACGACTTCTTCTCCAACGCCTTTCCACTACTTTCATATGCTAGGCTCCAGGTCCCCTTCGTTCTTCAGTTCACTGAAAGCTGCAGCAATAAAGGCGGCCAAGGTCGCTGCTCACTCACTGGCTCAGTCAGGTTTGAAGGCTCTTGGAAGTGAGTACTCCTATTTTTAACATAAGCATTCGTAATGCGTTTTAGTTTGCGCTGACGGCGGAAACACTGTCAAAACATGTATCAGTCCTGATATTTTTCTTCATTGTCCCCCCACCCCATTTTACGCTTGCGACGCCTCATTGGCTTTACGACGCTGTGACCCAGTAAGGTCGGCTGAATCGCTATCAGGAGAGCGGCATCACTTCCCTGCTTTCCCCTTTCTTCTCAACCCCCATTGAACTTGATTATTTTATGTTCTATTGCTGCAGTGCTCGTACATTGCGTCTCTATTGAACGCTGTGTTAGAAAAAATCCTGTATTCTTCCCTGTCGCGGGACCTCCGGGGTGCAGGGAGGCAAGGCGTCACAGACTTGTCTGGCCTGCACTCCCTCAGAGACTTGTGGCGGGACCGCGGACAGTGGGCTGCCGTGTGCCGCTCCGTCTGCGGCTAACGTCGGGATCTCATAGTGCTGGGAACTCCGTCGTTTTTCTCTCGGCAGGGTGCAACAATCTCTCGTCCTGGCATTTGTTTGTCTGTCTAAAACTGTTGTTAGCAGTACTCTGCCTCTCGTGCCTTGATGTTGTGCCTCGTGCTAGCTATTGGTCTGTTTTTTCTTGACCCTCGTCGTGCTGTCTATTGTTGGCTGTCCTCTTCCCGTATCCATTCGGCATAATTATGCGAATCTGTGGGCATTTATCATGTACAAATTGCTGACATTGACGCGGAAATGGGATTAATAATAATTCTTCCCTTGTCGCTTCTCCAGTGCGAGTTCAATGTGTTCTTCTCAAGTTCCCCTTTACCGCTACAAAGGTGTGCCATTCAGCCACTGGACAAAAATGCTAAAATTAAGGCAAATAGCCCACTCCAAAACGTTAGTGTCTTGGCAACTGGGCCTTTGAACTTTTGGGAAATGGAGGCCAAGACTACTACCATCACATTGACTAACTTGATGTACGTCATTAGCGGTAAAAGGGATAACCTTATTAACCTATCCTTATTAACCAAAAACATGCAAGTGAAACACACAAATCGCCTTTCCGTGCACTCTTTGAATGTATCCACTTGGATTATACATTCTTCCTTTTCCGTGCTCTTATCAAAACTGGGTCCAAAATTATGGTTGTTTATACTGTTACATTATTGCATCTTTGCTCTCCTTCCGTGGTTGCATTCACTATCATTTCCTTGTATCGACTATTTTCATTGTGTGCCGTGAAGTGTAGACAGAAAATTAAAAATTAAAAATTTCGCATTACGAGATTACACAATATTCTGCATTTTGTCCAGGCAAACGCGCCGTGGAAGCCGACGCCCTGTATAGCCAGATCGCAGAGGTAGCTGATGAAGAATTCGAGGCCATTGGAAAGCGCATGGTTCAGCACACCCTGGAGTTCGCAGTACGCGAGGCTGGTCGTAAGTGTCTTTCAATTTCGAGTTGCCCTGATACCCAATTGTGTATTTGACAATATCTTCAAGGATTCTCCAGAGGCAAATGGTTGCCTATCAAAGGGATTCTCCTTGGGAAAGGAAGTGAAGGTGGCTGTCATGAGAGAGAGAAGAAGGGACATGACAAGGTTTACTGCACAGAAGTTGGATTGGTGCCCAGTACGAAGCCATTAATGTTTTTGTTACATGCTTTGTGACTCCGGGGATACCCATTATGACTAAAATGATCTATGTGCACAACAAATGCAAGTCTTCAAGCAGAGGGTTCACTGTAGCAGGATCCCATCGAATATGTAACATCACAGAAAGAGTAGAAAAAACTTTTTTTATCTACTCTTGATCACAAGTATCACCACGTGTAGTTTCTCCTTTAGAACTTGATCGTCGGCACACATATATTTCATGTAATACTATAATACATCTGCACGACGATGCTCACGATTGCTAGTACATAATTGTTAAGAAGAACTAGTATTGGTAACTCCATTGGATAAATCACTATGTATTCACTGGGTATACCATACGGATAAGAAGAACTCCATGGCTGGTTAAAATCGCCCGCATCACATGCTTATTGGCACTATGTCATCGTGATTGTGAAATAATAATAATAATAATAATAACTCCCGTTATTGCGGACAAATATAATCGGTCCCTTGGTGTTCGTCCTAAAGAGGTTTGACTGTATATCCAGTTATTAACCCTATGGTTGGCAAATGTTAAGTCGGCTTTGGTAATATGAAAAGCCCCTCGACATGCCAGTAGCATTTGAGGGATATTTAAAACAAAGAGGTTTCAGGCTGTCCAAGAGAGTACTCAATACCGAGAGGCAGAGCTGGTTCACACAATAAGAGGACAGATGACGATCGGTTAGTGCGTGAAACTCGGAGTAAAAACACGTTCTCTGTCCTCGTATTGTGGGATATGTAAAGCAGTGAAAAGTTCGAGAAATATTTAAATATTGCTCAGCTACTACTCTTCACTGGTGTGGATATTACTTCATATAGTTTGTCGGTGATGGGTAGTCTCTGTATCTCTTACACAGCTTATGGACACCCAGGCTTCATCTCAGCGATCAAGAGCGGAGCGTCGCGTCTCTGGAACACAGTGAAGCCCATTGCCAAGGAGATCGGACGCAAGGTGGCAGGAGTGGTTGCCAACCATCTGAACAGCTACGCTTCTGGTACGCAGCGGCGACACACGATAGCAGTACATGTACATGTATATATGTAATGTTGTTTTCTACTGTATATGTATGGTAGGGCTACCTAGTCGCTTTAAAAATGTACCTTTGAAAAGTGCTGTTGGACGTGTGGCCTGCATTGGTTCGCAACTACGACAATATGTTGCAAAATACTACTGGATCTTAAGAGAGCTTTGACTACTCTGTCTCTCGGTTCATACAAATCTGACTACATTTGGAAAGGTCGGATATGCTGCGTTGTCAAGGACGAGATGAACGGTGTCCTCTACGTGAGAAGATCAGCGGCAAGAAATGGCGTCTACAACCTCTTATTTATACATCAATAACTCTATCATTTGCCTATTGATTCCTATGTACGGATTTTCTATTTATCTAACCTTTGATGTTCTAGGCTCTCGCAGTGCTGAGGACATCCAGGAACTTGCTCAGCGCACGTCCTATACTGTGAAGCGTGCTGCCAATGACCTGGCTTATGCCACTGCTCAGGCTGTTCAGGATGAGGATTACCTTAACTAATGTAAGTAGAGCGTGCCAACATGTATTGGAACGATAATAAATTTGGCCTTCGCATGAAGAGAAGGGATCCTTGCTGCTAACCACCAATTGGCCCAAACCCCAGCTAGTGATAATATACAAAATGAACGACTAATCATGAAGCTCCTGATCGAATGTGGCGGCGTAGCGCAGCAAGGCATTGATGTCACTGTACTATGCCAGTGGCAAGGATTGCTTGAACTGAATATGAGATTGTAAATAGGAAGGATGCCTAGGAGCCCAGTCGGTAATACTAGGTAATACAAGTACACCTGTCCCAGAAGACCACTGCAACCAGGACCAAGGGATAAAATTTTCAGTCAAATGACACTGGATCAGGAGACCACCTGTTAGCGGAGACCACGTTTTGAAGGTCCCTTGAGCGGTCGTCTTAGACAGGTTTCACTGAATAGGCGAAGAGTGAGCAATGTAAAACTCCTCACTGACATCTACCGCAACTACATCAAAGGAAAATCTGCACAGTACTTCGAAGTAACTACAACTATACATGTTCACAAAGGATCACGAAACCTACCAGTAGCTTCTGACTCTGCGTGATTTTCTGCAAAGGTGTGATGTTAGCGACAATTCTAGATAAAATTAGAAAGTAATGTCCAGCCTCCTGGGGACAAAACAAGCACAATGGCGTTTCTGTGGTGCCGAGTGGGCATATCTGTACAGTGCAGTAGAAGCACGGTAGAGACAAGGGAAATACGTCACTACACAACAGCAGTGCACCTATCACTTCAACCAGATGGCACGATTGTTTGAAATCTTTTATTCTCACGATGGCCTGTGGCCAATAAGACGTTGTTGTTGTTACTGTATTTTACTTCTCCAGAATTACAGGCAGTAGAATGCCTTCTCACTAGACCAGGTCTAGTTCCTACAAATTTTAATGATGAAGAACGGTCCAGCAACATGATTCATGAACCAGGCTGTCGATTACATTGCAGTGGGATGTTTTTAAGAAGTGATGTGTAACTGTCTCAACGTTCCCATTCCATTACTACATGTACATGTATGTGAATAAAATGATTGGGGCTCAAAACAACTTCTAGGCATTGGATGTACTGTATTTCAAGAAATACAATCATGTACTTCGAAGTACAGCACTGTACTAGGATATTCTTCCGAAGTGTCATATACTTTGCGTAGACCTTGTCATTATGTATTCCCATCTTCTTTATCACGTACAGGGTCTTTGCCGCGACGATCGTGTTCAGCCAACATTACAGCAGAAAAGCACTGCCGTCACCAAAGGAAGCCATTGCACGATCATCATGATAGTCTATTTTTGATTTTATCATGAACGAAAAACTGTTCTATGCTTTCGAACATATCAATAGTGACATGGAAAACTGTGGGCACAAGTTATGCGATCGAGTCCACCAACTAAACGAGATTTTGAACAGTCGGACGTGCACAATCTAGCACAAAACCAACAACATTGTGCACGTCTGACTGTTAAAAATCTGGTTTAGTTGGTGGACTCGATCGCATAACTTGTGCTCACATTTTTCCATGTTACAATTGTTTTCCTTAGCTCACCATCTGAGTTCTTTAAACATATTAATCACACCTTATTTTGGAATGTCGCAGCTCGAAATCTTTTACTGTTGGTTGGATTTCTTACTCCAGTGTCCAGCTACTCCACATTTACTAGAACACGTGTTCGTAGCAAATTTTCTTCACTAATGTTATCTAAAAACACAGCATCTTTACTTTTACTCTCACTAACACATACATGGGCATGAAACACAACAAGCCAAACCTTTCTTTCCAATTTTCCAAAGCCTTCCTTGAAATGCGACAGGGCGACTTGGGCGGCGGATATGTGAAGAAGGTGACTGGTCCGAACGTTGGCACTTGCGATTCCTGTCGACTGATTGCTGAAGACTGCAGTCTGGGCCATACACTCAGGAGCCAGTCGAATATTCTACTCGACCAACCCGCAAGAAGGCACGAATCTCTGCTCAATACACAGTGTTTCGGGCAGGGGGAGGGGGGGGGGGGGCTCACTTCTCATTGAGCTTCAATGGACTACTGAAATTGGTGCTCCGAGAGCACTGCTGCTATCACCGCTAAAAGTTAGTTGCAGCATAACGGTAGTAGTTCGTCCTGTTGTCCGTTGGGCGAGAATGCGACTACACAGTTCGAAGTGACAGCGTTGCGAAACAATCAGTGGCCCTAAGTGTGTTCTCATAACTCCATGAATGCCTGTGGCTCACGTAACCGTCGTTGCAGGCTGACTCTCACGAGGGGTTTGTCGGAAACGGAGCGTCTCTATAGGTTGGTATCCCTGGTGATGTTTGGCTCCATGAGAACAACACGTCACAATGCTGCCATGCCATACAGATATCCTCAGTCACTCAAGTGCAACTGGTGAGGGGTGAACTGCCCGAAACACGGTGTTGAGTAAGGAGTGAATCGTACCTTTCTGTTCGTTTGCCGAGTGGAAGGTTCGGCGTACTGCTTTGTGCTCCATAATTATGGTAGTCACGAGTGCCAAGGCAGTCCCCGGGAAATGCGAGCTTCAATCAAAGTCTTCACATCCACGAAAGCTTTCATAAATATTTCATGTGAAAAATACCTCAGGGTGTCCAGAGTCATCTACTGACAGTCTGTGTGTACTGTAAATTATCCCACTGTAAATTGTCCCGCCTGATGCACGCCCGGTGTCTGCTCCCGAGGGCGGTATGGCCCCATTTCGCCTACATGGTCGCTCATTACGCCATGCCCAATTCCAGTATCATGGTAGGGTACATGCCCTATAGCCATGCTCCATGCGTGCATGGTTGTTTCGTCTACACACTTGTCTAGCAAGAGACAGACATGTACAGCTAGCATAGTGGTCCTCACTGGACAAGAAGAACAGTTATAAAAGCGGCGAGACTACTCTTGTGGAGAATGTCAGAGGATGCCCTATTACTGCTTTCTGTTACTCAAAACAAGAAGTAAAGTAAGCCGGATTCGTGGCCGTATCACGTGACGTGTTCAGGGATACATCAAGCAAATACATTCGGATCGGCCGGCCATCATTTCGCCCATATAATTATCCTCAGTGTCGAACGCAGACCTCACACGTGAGTCAGGGGAGAGACTCAGTGAAGTAATTAGAAATGCACTCTGGAGTCAGCAAATTCCATGAACGCTGGCATAGGAAAGCTGGTACAGCCATGACCGTACACACTGCACCAGTGGCGCCTTTCCAGGCATGAGGGTAGTAAAGTGGCCAATACTGAAACAACACATACATGTAAGAATATACATAATCATACTTGTACGTAATCAAGTAGTGTGCTTCACTGTCCGAAGAGTGCTCAATACCCATATAGGGCAGAGCCTTGCATACAAGAGAGATTGGAAGCTGTGTCTCTCAACTCTGAGTTTCACGTATTGCTACGACTACAGCTTCCAATCTCTCTTGTGTAAATCATACTTGCAGGAACACAAGCAGTCCACAACCAACGGACACCGATTTGTTTTGACCGATGATAAACGTGTCCCGCCTCCCGAATTCATCAGTGACTACTTCTCGCAGATGAGTAGAGAGAAGGAATGAAGCAGCTCAAGGTTATTATTATTATTAACTTTTATTTTACTAGGTTGCTGAACATACACCTACTACATATGTCAGAGCAGCAGCAGCAAGGCAGGAGCTAGTGAAATGCTGTGGATAACAACACTCTATGGACCATGCTGTGGATAACAACACTCTATGAACCATGCGAAAAAGAAACAGCACAATGGTATTTTAAAGGCGAAGGTAAGTATTACATGTAGGTGGCAAGTATCCACGCAAACACACATCCAGTCAAGTAAGCTAGCAAACTTGCAAAGATACATGTAAATGAGAGCCCAGACGGCGAAAACAAAGCGAAGAGGGATGAGGTCATAGGCAACACTGGTATAGGTTATACTTTACAAATATATTTGCAGATGATATATAGATAAGGACAGAACAACATAGCGCTGCATAAGATATGTGATAGGCATTGAGGCAGGAGAAATGTCTTCACACGCGTCCGAGTAGTGAGCACGCAAGCAGCAAGCATGAATAAAATATGTACAAGAGGAATATTGGAAGAGCCTAAATATGGTGAGGGTATACAGGGGAACTAAACACCACAAAACCTTACAAAGTCTCAAGAATTTGCAACTTCATCAGATTACACGACTGTGTGATCATGTTTCAACACAGCATAAAGCGTGAAAATTGTACCCTCTTACAACCAGTCTACACACTCAGACAATATCCAAGCCATCCAGACAGTTCCTGCCCGTAAACACAGTGAAGAGCTGAGAGCAAACATTCTCACTCAAGCCACACTTGTGTACCCGCAGTCCACGTAATGATCTACACACCCTCACTGGTTCAATGAATCGCAGGTCATCACCCTCACCACTCACAAACACCTTCTTGTTCAACCCCAAACTGGTCACCTGTGTACATTGCTGCAACAATTCACAGACTGCAGACAATGGTGCGGTGCCATCACTTTCCGCATAGATGTACTGGATCTGAACATCTTGTACATTCCAACACTGACAAAATGCACGGCACAGCGACAGACAACCACTCACACCAACACCGTTATCACTGACATTCACTCACACAGGACTAGCAGACGATGCAGAAATCACGGAGGACGATGCCCGACCATCATGAATAAGATCATTCACGGAAAAATTTAACACACGTATAGCACGACACCTCCATAATCCTACTGATAAGCTATGAAACGACTCATCTCCAATGCTAGACCAGCTGAGGTTGACTTCCTCCAAATCAAAACATGTGTAGCCACACAGTAAAGAATTGAGAGCTCCACATTCATGCGAAGAGAGAACAACACTAAGGAGATGAAGATTTGATACAAGCACAGCACGACAGAAAGGGCATTTCCAATTGCAGGACACACAGTGATACTCGTCATGCTCTTGATGTGTCACCACAAGCTGGACAAACAAGCTACTAATGTGTATACTTGTAGAATACTAGCCTACGGGAGAGAAAGCTTAATATGCTACACGTACATTGCTGGAAGGAGTAACTTGCAGCGAGGCATTGCTCAGCAGCATAGCAGCGGGATGAAGGAGACGCTCGCACGGCCACGCCAGCTCGGCATCCAACACAGATAGTGCTTCCAGCAGCACCGGGCCATTCGCCACACTGCCGCTTTCAACCCACACCGTGAGGAGAGTCTTTAGGAAAAGTGCGTCCGTGTGCTCTCGGCCGATTGGCATGGAACGGCGCACACGATGCTCACCTTGGCCCTCACCACGTTCATGCCGGGGAATGAGGAGAATGTCGGCGAGGGCAACCGTGTGCTCAGGCTTCAGTACTTCGCAGAGCCTGCCGTGAACCTTCGCCATATCCATCTCATCTTTCAGGACACTCGAGTCGTTGCAAATCTCATTGGCAACCTTAGTTGCGGCGGAAGCATCTGCAGGGGCAACAGCCGAATATGCACGCCATAGCTTTTCAATCATGATCAGCGACACGTCTTCTGGGCATAGAGCATCTGCAGCGGCAACAGCCGAATGCGCATGCCATAGCTCCTCCATGATAGTCGGCGACACGTCTTCTGGGCATAGAGCAATGAGAAACTTCCAGAACATTGCCATGTGGCCATCGTACGCGCCCAGTCGTCGTGCCAGTGCAATGGCATGATGTCTTTCTTGCACCACACACTCTACCATGAACCATGCCGCCAGGAACTCCTGCAATGACAGATGACAGAAGTGGTATTGCCGAGCATCCGTAGGCATTTTCCATTGGTATGTTTGCAGAAGACCCAAGCTCATTGCATAGTGGCTCAAGTCGAAGTTGCTGACGTCGGATGCGTTGAACACCATCCTTTTCTGCAGCAGCATGAGAAACGCAAAGTGGACCAGCCCTTTAGCGATTGGACGACCTTGCAGGGTGCCAGTGCAAATGACTCGCAAACGTCACCTCCAGCACGTTCTACGGCTCGGCACAGTATCAATTCATACAGGGATATGCTACACTTCCACACGTCTTTGTTGCTCTTGAAAAGCTCATATGTTAGGGCTGAAAACATGGGAGTTGCCATAAGACATGACACATTCGGCTTGCTTTGCAGCTCTGCCAGCAGAATTTCAGCGCGCCGTGTACGGAGAACCTTCTCTGCGTACTCTCTCACATTCTCCGGTGAGAAATCCGGTACTTGGATCTTCTGCTGGTACTTGCCGCATATATGCAACCTTGCATGGACGGATTGTCACGATTACGTGCGTCGTCACCATGGCCTCACGTTCCAGCAAGTATGCCATGAAAATACTGCAGCGGTCGAAATCACATTCATCTGAGCCGTCCATGACGATGCATAGACGACTAGGACCATCTTCGAAATACCTTGCTAGCTCTAATATCTCCTCCTTTGACAAGCCCTGACCTGTGAATTTCACAGCCAAAAGCTTAGCAAGACTAGTGGCAGCTCTGACTTCGGGTTTACGAAGCTCCAGACACCACGACGAGATCGAATTCGTCCCGCCATAGGTCGCCTCTGCTCCACAGGTATACAGGCATGAGCAGAAACACTGTGCCGTCTTGCCACTACACTACAGTACAGTACCATGCAGCTCTGTAGATCTACGCTAGTACATTCCGTACCATCTTACCGTGCAGCCTGCCCGACTCAGTCGCTGTAGCTGTTGCAACTGCTATTGCAGCTTGTCCTGTTGAAGTGGAAATGTGGCCAACAGTCGAACCTGCCGCACGAAATAGGTTCTCTAATAATTCAATTCGACCGGCTTTGCTAAAATTTTTAATTGCAGTGCCTGTACACGGCTATCGGCATTGCCGCATACGCTGCAAACATTTTATCAAATTCTCTTTTCAATTCCTTTTCTGACACCAGCGTCAAATTCACGAATATCTCTTCGAGCAGAAAGGTGTCATCCGAAGCGATGCCACCGCTCAGCGGAACTCCTAAATCTTCGGCCTGCTCAAATAGCTTCTTTTGAGCTTTCAGCAGTGAAACCGGCAGAGCCTTGCGCTTTGCTGCGGGCTGCTCAGCCTTCTCAGCCATTGCTTTGCAACCACACCAGGTGACTGAAAATGTTCAAACTAATACTTACTTGAAAGCACAAGAGCTAACGACATGGCTCAGCTTCCGCGAAGGACTGCGCATGTGTGACAGGCACTGACAAAAATAATCATGAATGCTTTCGATACCGCAAAGCGCAGTGCGCAGTGCAGGCACCTATTGTTCTTTACGTGTCAACTGTCGCACTCCAGACAATACAATCATGTAGATCTACATGGCTACACCATGTACACAGCGCGGACACATCTTTGTAATCGTGTTGTTGAAGTCTGTTTTCGAATTTATTTTGTTTTTTAGAGTCGGTAGCTTAATTTTCACTGCAGTGATTGGAGATTTAGCCGTGTTTCAGTAGCTAATCCCCATTCAGATGATTCAATGGTGCAGTGGAAAAGCTGGTTCATATTGAAACAGTACTGCACACCGAGCTGATCCTCACCGAGCTGATCCTCACCGAGCTGATCCTCACCGAGCTGATCCTCGGACGGTAGTAGTAGTACAGTCGTCCCTCTCTAATCCGGCACTTTATAATCCAGCACCCTCGATAAACCAGCACAATTTTCAGTAGCCAAATGTCCTCTTCATGCACATTGCAGCAGTAGATCAGATTTGTTAATCCAGCACCCTCCCTAATCCAGCAGATTTCCGTGGCACAAATGGTGCCGGATTATAGAGGGACCACTGTAGTAGTAGTACATGTCCTTGTCAGTTTTGTGCCATTTCGTCGCACTCGCTGGCTGTATAAGATCTGGTTACGTTGGTGGACAGTTGTCATAACTCGTAACATGTTGTCCTCCTTTTTTCACCATAATTTAATTGGCTCACCATCCGAGTTAGATATGTAGTAGTAGAAATATTTATTATTTTGATGGGGAAGGCCCTACAGACGTTGCCGTCTTGTTACAGGGAACCCGACGGTTGGGCATGAAACTCTGAGTTACGACCATAGCAGGTCTACATGTTACATTTCTGTCCACTGGTTGACTGTACAAAGCTATGCGTCCACGGCATTTGAGCACACTTTGCACATTAGGCGCATCTCTCGTGAAAAGGACAGATATTTCCCCAAACAATTTTCAGTATACGTCATCGTTGCGCTGTTATAGGTTTCTGGTACTGTATAAATACAAATTTTCGTTCACGAAATCTTTCGTTAGATCACTCCACCAGCAGGTTCGTTACGTACTAAATTTCGTTTTTGGCCGAGGTCTGTCACCCGAACGTTCAGAAAAACAACTTTAGTTTAGTACTTCAGTAGAAGCTTTTGTTTTTTCGTGCCCCTGACGAATATTGCGTCTCTGTGTTTTTCACTGTTTTTATTAGACATTATCTTTCTTTACGGAGTTGTTGTTGCTGTTCATTTTGCTACTCTTTCTTTTTCCCTCCCCTTACTTTTATTTATCGCCGTGGTTGGCAATCACCCACTCTCTTCACATTGGCCGGTGTTTCCACCGAGTCTTGAGATGTTGTAATAAATAATTATATAAATATAGCGAAAGTTAATTCCAAATGAAACTTTGTACGTATACCGTAGTCTGAATGAAGAGGTGCACTGGTGACACGCGTCCTTTACTTACATGTAGATAGGCAATTCTTCGGGGTGCCAACCTTGTATCAAAATAGCGACGCGACGGATCGGCCATGATCATGTAACATGTACGCCAATTATTTTGGACAACGAACACATCTTGAAATAGTTACCAAGAACAGGTCGGAGTAATCTTACAAGTGAGTACACTTGAACAAAGAAAAATCCATTGGTTTGAGGGAAAGATGCAAATGAGAAACGTCTAAAGACAAAATGGACTGTCATCACCCGGCCTCGAACCAGGACCCTTCCCTTGAGGCCAGCGAAGTAATTGCAATAATTGAAAGGATCTTGCTGCGGCATTCCAGAGACTGCATGCAGCATGACACACAGATTGTTAAGTACATCTTTAGTTTCAAACAGATCACATTACAGGACCTGAGTTTGCGTCTACATACCAGTACGTTTCCTTCAAGGACATCTAGCACAAAGACGTTATTAGGACTCTTGTGCCGCGTTGCTGCCGAATCTCTCAACTTGTACGCGAGCATCTGCAATACTACGATACGCCATGTACAGTACAAGCATGTTCGGATCCTAGTGTGCCTTCCGGGTCCAGCGGGAAAAGTGACCGGAACGATATACAAGAGGACATTTTGCTTAGCATTCCATGAGAGGACTGTACAGACCCCACTTTCGCATCACAGATACCAACCACTGCAGTTTGTGAAGCTTAGTAACATTGAAAGAGTACGACTATTTTCACAGGAGGATCTCTACCGGGTATTTGCCATGGCCGTGTCCATGTTCGCCTTTCTTTAGGAAAATGGTGGGATTCTCCCCCTGATCTAGCTATCACTACCGGTCCCCCAGTTCCGCTTCTAGCTGCTGGCGTCCCGAAGCCGACTAGCTCCTGCCGTATAATTATTATGCCAAGGCTTCCAAGTCGCGGGGGCAGTTGGGTTTGGCACCGATTCCGGCCTGTGTGGCATGCAGTGCATATTTTGTTATAAAAGGAGAGATAGTCGCACGAAAGAGCATCACTCCCTTCTATAACAGGTCTATAAATTTGTAGAGATTATAGGCGAAGAAGCTACTGGAAGACAATGGCGTCTCCAAAGAAAGTCCTCTGCCTGTTGCTACTAGGCATAGCACTGGCCAAGGCTGCTCCAGCACCTGACATGTCCGACTTTGCGTTGGACAACGAAGACAACTACGACTCGAACTTCCTCAGCCTAGGTACGGATATTTGTGTGACTGGCTTATGTACCTCAAAGGGTGAGCTGAAGCTTTCGGCCTGTTTATCAATAATGTAATTCCAACTCCCCTTGACGCGCATGACCTGTAGTGATCGAAACAGCGCTGTATGGAAGAAATAAAATTATTTCTCAGTATCTACAGCTTGGAGTCAGGTTGCTGGTGTGTGAGGTCAGCCAGAGAGCGCGTTTGGTGGAGGTGGAATTCCTTAATTGGTATATGTACCTATTTGCACTTAACTGCTTATTGAAATCCAATCTGGCCAGTGAATTCCCGGCCATGAGTTGCGCTGCCCTGAATCTATCTATGTCTGTAGATGAAGCTGACGAAGCCGCCGAGGAGGATGTACTTGCTGCCAGCCACGTTTCGGAATCCGACTTCGACATGTCCATCGACAACAATGGCGATGAACTCGCTGATGAATACAACAGTAAGGCCAGTGTTACTCGACACGTGTCTGCAATGGCTGAGAAAAGAGATTTGGATATTTTAGAAGTATATTTATGGCATCTAAGGCATTGTTGTGCTGAAGTTTGGTATGTACGAGGCAAAGAAGGGGACTCAACGTCTGCCTCTGTTCCATGAAGCCCAAGATTACAAAATGGATACAGCGAAATATGAGTTTAAAAGATCCAAGCAGATTGGTAATAAAATACAACAACAACAACAGATTGCATTCGCATTCCCTGATTTGCGTGAATAAAGTCACTCCTGAAAGGGCAAAAGAATTACAAATTTACATGAGTGGGTAGTGTTCAAAGTGTAGTATTCCTCGTCTTGGGTCAATTGCAACCGACTTGAATGTCAGGATAATTTGGATTTCAACGTGTATAATTATTTGCATTTGCAGCTCAAATCCTGTTGCACGGTCGTCGCGGGGCTGCCCCAAGCTTCTGGAACAGTGTCAAGAACGCGGCAATCGGCGCAGGAAAGGCAGCCGCCAGTCATCTCGCACAAGCCGGGCTTAAAGCTCTATCCGGACGTGAGTGATGGTGGTACATGTACCGGTATTAACCAGTCTTCTACATTGTTACTGATTTGCAAGAGCCTCTGAACTTGGCACGGTCTGGGCATGAACCTGTTGCTTAGACATTAAGTTTTGTTCTTCTACTTGTACAAAAATGCCACTACGCGTTATGTGCAACATTTCAGCGATGCAGGAGGCACCAGCGACCATTGGGTCTCGCTTTTTTGCTGCACGGGCTAAACAACTAAGACGACTACACCATAGCTTAGTGGCAGAGCATCACTGGCCATAAGCGAGGGTCCTTGATTGCAGTCTTGGTGGGGACAGTCAATTTTGTCTTAAGACTTTTCCCGTTTCTCCGTTTACCTCAATATCATCAACACTAGACAGTGTTGAAATGGTGTTGAAGATAATTATGAAGGGAGTGTAATCTCACGCAATATCTCCAGCTCAGATGTGCAACGTCTGATCTTTGTTGCCACCTCGCTTTCGAAGTGTACATTTAGCTGTATGGCAAATGCAAGTTTATTACTTGTACCTTCAGAATCAGATCGACATTGGAGATTCGCGAAACTCAGATGGGCCTAAATTCAGGCTGTTGTGAGCCGTGATATGGGCGAAGAAAACAAACTTCTATTGTGGCTTTTTTAAATTCACATAGAGTTTGGTAGGTTACTAAAGTTTATCAGCCAAGTTGTACGTCGCTTTACTACTGTGTAGGGACCGGCAGATTCTACTCGAAAAGGTGGCAGATTCTGCTCGAAAAGCAGTAAAATTGGCAGAACCATACAAACCTTATGGCGGGCATTTCCTGGAATTCTGCTCCATTTCTTTATCCACAAATCAAACATGCATGAAACGTACCAGAAAAAGTACCGAATTCTGCCAATTTTTCTGCCGGCATTATCCGCTGGACCCTACTACTGTGATGCATTGTGCAGCTGTTGGAAGTTCTACAAGAGATCCAACTAACTTATAGTACTAATACTAAACTTTTTTATTTCCACCGTTTTGCGTGTTTCCCCTCACTAGAAAAGCGTGATGAGGATGATGGTGATCGTGTGCACGAGTACATTGCTGACGTGGCTGACAATGAGTTCGAGGCCATGGGCAAGCGTATGGTTGAAGAGTCTCTGGCGGCAGCTACCCGCGAGGCTGCAGGTAGGAACCTGTCACGGTCGTTACTCGTGAACCTCTACTACTAGTGTTGGAAGCTTGATGTCTTGTTAATTGAGTCGGGTACGCATTGATTTATATTATATACCAGACCTTGAACCGTCAGAGTTGTTAAATTGAAATTGGGAATCTGATAGAGCACAGAATTAATTGTTAAGAACATTTTCTCCAAGAAAAAAGACTACTCTTTTTGTTGCAAGCTGACAAAGAAGGTATAGTAAGAGAAAACGATTGAGATAGAGAGAGAGAGAGTCGGGAGCATGATTTAGGGAAAGATGTGTTCTGTTGGAAATGGCTGAGAGCAGAGCTTATAGGCTTGTTCTCTTTGCTTGTGTACAGCTTATGGTAATCCCGGCATCATTTCCATGCTCAAGAGCGGCGCCTCTCGCGTCTGGAACACAGTCAAGCCCATTGCCAAGGAGATTGGACGCAAGGTGGCAGGAGTGGTTGCCAACCATCTGAACAGCTACGCTTCTGGTACGCAGCGACGACACACGACAGCAGTATAATGTTGTTTTTATAACATAACTACTGTACATGTATGACATAGTAGAGTGTTGCTTCTATTCCACATAGGAAGCATAAGGCATGGCTTGGATTCTAGCGCCTTGACTTCCAATGTCAAAGGGACTGAGATATGGTGAAAAAGGAAAAGTATAAAATTGGCTCACCATCCGAGTTGGACTGAGATATCGTGGTATTATAATTTACTTCAAGTAAATGCTACTTTTGAAGACAGAAGTTAGTAAATGCAAAAGCACTACCTTGGTCTGATTACGTGCGTGAAGACGTGCATCGTTTTTTTCGAAATTGTGGGGTGATCAGATCGAATATGGACCAGGGCACCGCCATACTCCGAATTCACTTCTGTCATACTATGGAAGATGTCCATAGTCCATTTTTCTACGAAAGGCACTCTTTAATAACCACACATCCATGCACATTGAAGGGACCAACGATGGGGTTTAACATAATAAGCTAAAATGCCATCATTTGCCTAATCAAATTGTATATACGTGTCATACAAAGTGTTCGCCAATGGACGTCGTGAGACTTAATTATACGGCATCTGTCTATTTTCTGTTCCGCGCAGGACACCGCCGCAGTGCTGAGGCAGCTCAACAGATTGCAAGCGTCATTGCTGACGTTTCCAAGCGCGCTGCACGTGACCTGGCCCACGCCACAGCCAAGGCTATTCAGGATCAGACCAACATTCGTGAACGTGAGATTGCTATAGAACTAGGGAGTTATGGGACAGCGGAATTTAGACAGAAGATGAGACGTTAATGGAAAATGAGAAAATTGCGAACTTTTATTATTATAATTCAGGGATATTGCCTCATAAATCCACATTTCAAGATTTATATTAATCATAACTGGTAACATTTTGCCCTCCTTTTTCACCATAATTTATATTAAAAACAGTATTTAAACAATCGGCATGGAGACAACAATTTCATAATAGCGATCAATAGAACAAGTTGAACTGACATGTGGCTACTTTAATTAAAAGATGAGCTAGTGAAAATAACAATGTAGAAAATATTACAAACAAGTTTTCGCACAACACCCATCAGGAATCTTCGTTGTACTGATGAACAATGCAACACGAATGAACGTTTACGGTACCACCAAGGAGAAATAACACTAAGTGATAACACTGAAAGGCACAAGTGTGAAGTTTCAAGTTTGCAACAGTGAAACTGAGGGAACATACACGAAGTGGTTGCTAACAACGTGCTAATCAAAAACCGACAACTTGATACTGGCAACTGCAGAACAATACGCCGAGAAGAGCAATGGCCAAACTTGGTCACAACAAACAAACAAAGATTACTTGATCATTATCAAGGCAATTCTAACGTTACCAGTATTTGCATATTTGTTTTTCTCCTCAATCTTAATGTTATTAAAGAGATTATTATCATACGCTCACATAAACACCACATACCAACCATGTACACACACATACACACACACTCACATACACACACACATAATACACACACACATGTGTATGCACAATCATGCACACAGACGCATAGCCATACACAATATTTGTGCGCGCACTCACTCTCTCACAAGAACGTCCACAAACCACCACGCCGAGTCCCTACTATACAGCCGGTCGGTCGGCCAGTCCCAGTGGCTCGAGCGCAGGAGTCGGTGGACGCTGTGAATACAGTCTAATGTCATAAAATGGCTGTAAACACAGTCTGATGTAAATAATAACAATTGTACTTCCAAATGTATAACTACGATGTACTTAGTACAGTCCTTTCTATCTCCTATGTAATTGCTCCCAGCCAAGCTCGTTCATGGAAACATGCGTTCCGCACGTGCCGTCTGGGATGCCATCAACACAGCCAGTGTGAACGCCGCCAAGGTTATGGCTCGCAGTCCCGTCAGTGATTCGACCAGTGACGAAGAGATCAACCGTGTTTCGGAGGATCTTGCCCACGTGCTTGCCACTGATGGCGCCAACGCATGTAAGTTAATAGGGCACGCGCACATCCAGGTCTAGATTACCAGCACTTTATTTTAGAAGACTTCCTGAGACACGAAATGTTTTAGCAACTTCAAATGTACCATATCGATACTGATGGGTTCTGACTGCAGCGACTAATCCACTGTTTGAGGCGACCTACCTCAGGAGAAAGTTCTACTTGTCAAAGGTTTATTATAGCACCCAAGAAGATAGCTTTTAAAACCTCTCTTCAATCTGCAATCCATGGCTATCAATAACCAAGTAGATTGTTGTTGCCCTGTAGGCGAGGTGCAAACATCTCTTAAGGTTTTCGCTGAGCGATTAACCGTGTTTGTTGGTGTCAAAATAATAATAATCACTGTCTTGCTTTGACACCCCAGTTATTATTATTCTTTTATTCCATATACTGGACTGTTTGTCAAGGTGCATATGCATGTGTGTTTTAGCCCTTTCTGGATATAATTATTATTCCTGTTTTGCCAATTCTGCAGTTGCATGCGGGTGTTCAACTCATTAGCCTCGCTTCTTCCTCCTTTCGCTTGTACATTTGGTTTATGACTTTTCGATATCTCCTTTTGTATGGCTGCAGATGAACTGATGCGTCGTGACCCAAATTTCCTGAACTTCTTGAAGGGAGTTGGCAAGGGAGTTTTGAGCGTTGGTCGAAACTTGCTCGGTGTCCGAAACAGTAAGTCGGATTCAGTCCTGGAATCCTGCTGGCGTTTCGACCACATATTCCACACATACCTTCATTTGGTACGCTAGGATTGGGAGGCATATGTTTGCCAAAAACATCCTTGATATGCTTTAATTTTGTTAAATTGCAATGGGTGTGTGGTATTCTATGTTGAAGGTGATTTGAGATTTGAAGAATCTTGGAAGGAATCTAAGTGTTCTAGATTTGTTGAAGAAAGCTATAACGGATGAACGCCTGTGTTCAGAACGGCAAATGATCAATGGAACTTTGCATGAACTGCCTTATCGTGTTTGTACAGGCGGCACGGCTCTGCGCGATGCATACCCCGGAGCAGATCCTTTTATGATGGGATCCCTTCTAGGCATGGCTGGCAAGGCCCTTGCTGGCATCATTGGTGGTGGCAAACGTAAGACAATAACTTATTTTGTATTAAATGCCACCTCAAATTTATCTAGAGCCATATCACGCATTGTCATGATTATGGAGATAATGAGATTCAGAGAATCGGAAGCAGCTCCATGCTTTACTGGGCTAGTTTACCCTCATAGCCAAATCAACACGCAGTTAGACATACAATGTGCATGCACGTTTACATTGTTCATGTAGGTCTTGAGTTGATAGGATCACGTACCTCAGAGTTCCCAGCCTGATGTTTCGCCATAACAACAATCAAAAACTCTCACAAAATCCACTACTACCTTGCTTCTGTATAATTTGCTTTCAAGCAGGGTTCAGGTACTAAGCCGGAATGTAGTTTTCACTCACTGAAGAGCTACACGCCTACAGTAAAGCCTGTGACTAACGGCCACCCCTTGGGGCCAGTGAAAGAGGTCTTTAGTGACAGGTGGTCCTTAGTTAGAGGTTCGCATCGCACAACCATGAATGTGAGATCGTCTGTGCCTGCCGAAGTGGTCTGTAGTAGCAGGCTGGTCGCTAGTCACGGTGGTCTTTAGTTACAGATTTTACTGTATCGAGTGTATGCCTAAATGTGTGATCAACTAGGGCTACGTATGGACCTATTTTCCCGAAAATATCAATTCAACTTACTGTATTCCTAGCCTGACTACGGGTCTTCTCAGCTGACAAATCTGTTGATCCCCGAGCTGCAGAGAGTGCTCAATGTCAGAGAAAGAGCTTAGTACATAGCAGACTCAGCGGAGGACGTTCCCTTCTAGGCAAGGCTTGGTAAATCAGAGTTACAACCAACCTGAACGTCCTCCACTGAACGTCCTCCACTGAATCTGCTACGGTCTTCTCTGATGTGTATTTTCCAACTCCTTGGTTATCAGTGCTTGCCTATCTTAGCTAGGGTCCGGATGGCGGTGCATGTCAATTTTCCAATTCTATCTTTTGTTTCCGTGGCATGCGCATCCAGGCGAAGCTGACCCTGCTGCGTTATTCGTTGGCACTATTCTCAAAGGAGTAGGTTCCTTGCTCTCCCATGTTGTGGGTAGCAAGCGCTCAGGTGAGCACCTATCACACTGATTATCGAGGTGTAGTGCGTTGTTGCGAGTGAGGCACTACACCAAGTTCTCCTAGTACTACTGTAGGCTGTGAGAATCAACACAATCATCATGAATCATGTGGGCATACATCACGCATGATGCGGCCCGGGGAGAAGGATTACTTCTCTAAAGTGATTGCTTGGTATATACCGGACTATAGTGAACTTTGGAGCTGGAGTGTATTCTGATAACGCCGAGAAATATCCAGAGAGATGAAAAATGTCGAACACCTTCCATGCTATTGCTCAGCCTTCGAACTGCATTTTGCCACTACATCTACATTTTTCTACATCTCTCAATTGCGAATCACCTAAGCCATTGCACTCCCATTATCTGAATTGGTTGGTAATGTTGTAATGTTTCAGCCGCTAACGGTCTTGAAGAGATGACGCTAGCTGAATTCGACAGGGATGAAGACGTCCAGGCCGTTGCTGAGGCCATGGCCGACAGCTCTACTGCCAGTAAGTACACATGCATTCATGTCTCTTCTTTGCTTTTTCTCATTGTTTTTTTTAGTACTCCCTGGTGACTACCTTATACATTTTACATTGTAAAAAAAGTTGGAGTGCGCAAAAAATCATATCAATCAGATCAAAATAAAATTAATTACCTCTCAGTGGTTTCAAGCCATGCAGTCCTTTCATGCAAAATTGTCCTGTTGTCTTATGTAAGCTCGGCCTTAGCTGAAAACCACTTTACATTCGTAACTCTGAATTTAAAGTGTATGTACTAGCAGCCTCGTCCGGTGGTATGACGGAACGTGTTTATTAGTATTATTATTACAAGTATTATTATTATTAGGAATGAGTTTGCTCCCACACGAAGTCGCAACCACTATTTCGTATTACCGGTTTTATTTGAAACTCGGGTATTGAGCCAATAATAAAAGTAGAAAGGAAAAGGACATATGGAAACGAGTTAAGAGTAACTCTCCACCACTGTAACTAGATACTATACCGTCAGAAAGTGCAACAACTAGGCACAACACTGACAGAGTACTCAGACATTCGACGTCCTGACACCTACGGGAACTACGGGAATGTGTTGAAGCTAGGTGTCAGGACGTCGAATGTTTCAGTACTCTGTCAGTTTTGTGCCTAGTTGTTGCACTTTCTGACTGTATGTAGTATCTAGTTACAGTTGTGGAGAGTTACTCTTAACTCGTTTCCATATGTCCTTTTCCTTTCTACCGGTATTATTATTATTATTATTATTAAATTTTGAATAGGTCAATCCCCACAGGCCTAAGGCCTTTTTACAGGGTAAAATATGTGATCATGTACAGATTTGCCGAATAGTGAAAACGAGGAGCAAGAAGCGTGTACTCCAGCAATCAAAAACTTACATAATATCTGGTTTGGTGTCCTGTGCAGTGTCCCTCCGTAGCGCCGACCCAGGCATTTTTGACGTGATTAAGACCATTGGCAAGGGACTGCTTGGATTCCGTGGTGCTGAAGGTGGGTCCGAGAGAAGATTGTTTGGTCGTAACAAAGTGTGTACATTCATGAAAATCGCAGTCAATTCACCAGACATTCCGTCTGAGTCGTTTTTATTTCAATAGAAATAGAGCGTGCAATTCACAATACAGTAAAACCTGGTTTAAGCGACCACCCCACGGTGCAAGCAAAAGCGGTCGTTAAGCCAGGTGGTCTTTCGAACCAGGTCCCACTGTGGAAAACGGCCGTTAAGAGCAGGTGGTCGCTAAACCCAGAGGTCGCTTGTACCAGCTTTTACTGTAATTTCAAGGTTGTTGTTATGATCCTGAGCATTACATTGCCTAGACGTTGAACCTGCATTTCAACATCGATGCTTCCGACGTTTTCTGTATACCAGTTTGGCTTTATCTCTGCATTTCTCATTCCCATGACGTAACCAGCCGCTCGCCGTACCACTGATCCCGGCTTCCTGAACGTGTTGGGCAAGATCGGAAAGAGTCTCCTCGGCTTCCGAAGCACACAGGGTACGTGTAACATCTTTTCGAAGATATGCACTGTGACACGCTATATTACTACAGTATCAGGCAGATTATGATAATTCTGATTACCTTTCTAGATATATCAACGTCTTTCACGGAATAAATTAATGGAAATGAAATACAAAATTGTTAAAAATGCACACCAAGTACAAAATAAGGGTATTGAACCAAAAATCAAAGTGATCCGTGGTTTACACTAGCACGACACCTCAAATCACTCCTACAATATAAATCAACGTCGTACCTGAAAGTGATGATTTGAATTGCGAAGCCTAGCGTATAAACCATAATAGTTCATTTTGACTCAAAACTACACTGATCCCAACAGGACAAGGAAATTGAATGGCCGTGTGTCGATTGGATACAAAAAGCACCCCTATAGCATTTTTTGGTATGTCTGAGGACTCTGAGTGAGGAGTCACACAATCACAAAGTAACATGAGAATATTGAAGGTACGAATCCTCAAGAATATTTGAATGTTGTGAGTAATAAGTAATATCAACTGAATGTTTTAATTTACAATCAAGCGAGGTCGAGAGCCTTGCTTTATAAAACCTCGTGGTACAGACCTGCACACAAAAGTGACCATACCTCCGAGGAATCCCAAAGGTCTCTGCTGGGATGACAAATATTATGATAACCAATTGGTGGTAAAGCAACGCTGGCCGTTGCTGGCCATAAGCGAGGGTGCCTGGATCGAGTCCTGGTGATGGCGGTCAGTTATTAATGTTTTCCTGTTGTAACTCCCTCAACCTTCTGAATAATCCTAAAGGCCTATGCATAGTTTTCATTTCGGGTCACTCATACGTTCTATGAATATTACCGTCGTGGACATGACATCCAATCGAATGCCCGGGGCCTGCAACCACAGTGAGTACAGAACCTGCACCGTGCACAGTCATGTTGATCGCATGCGCACTCAGGGGTATATGACCAGCGTGCTGGGCCCCCTTGACCTCCGACTGGATTTCCAACCTCCACAAGAGCAGATTAAATTTCTCTAATAGCTGTCTTAATAAGAATTAACAACTCAGATGGTGAGCCAAGGAAAACAAAATCGAGCCGTGCTCAAGCTGACTTTCATGCCGTGTAATGTCTCAGTACTCCTTGTCAATGTTGTGCTAGATTGTGCACGTCTGACCGTCCAAAATCTGGTTTAGTTGGTGGACTCGATCGCATAACTCTTGCCCACAGTTTCCATGTTGATAATAATTGTTATTAATTTACATGTACATGTACATGTAGGACCCTGAATAAATCCTTGTGAGTTTTGCTCACATTGGAGTGTGTGTCCTTATCACGATGATTTGGTTGATCCTATTTTGCCAGCCAGTAGACATACGTCGAGCGAAACGAAAACCAAACTCTAAGGTAGCAAATACAAAATGGAATATGAAATCCCATATTTCCGATTTGTGATTCATGATTTTCATGCAGCTGGCCCCTATTACCGGCCGACAATGCTCTACCGCATTCCCCATCCGATCTACTATTAGACGTGCACAGATCAGTCGTGTCGAAACCAGTGTGGGAAGGTGAGCTGACTGCAACGTAATCTGACCTTCTGGCCTCAATTCAATTTAGTTCCGAAGTACAAAGAATACGTAGTCACTACAGAGTACACAGTGACATACCCTTAGATCTCTTCCTAACGGTCCAAGAGCCAGTGTGTAAATCAACAAAAATAATGTTAACAAGGCGTACACACACACTTGTTTATCCTTTGGTCTATTGGATGGCATTTTCAAATGTCTTACTTCTAATGCTGCACTCTAGGCGGTCACGTGATGCTGTCGCTCCCATGATTACTTAGAATATTCAAATACCGACGATTTCCGAAGCAAAGCGAACATTTCCTTGGAGAGAAAAAGTTGTAACACCTACTCGTATATGGCCAAAACGTACTGATCACTTACTGGTCGTTTCTGCCTGAGGATAACCGGAGTATTTTGGGGCAAGCCGATCTGGGGAGGTATAGCGGTCTGGTGATGTCGAACATCAACCATAATCTAGAAGCACTAAGGTGGTCTGGGCAAGCGAAACTAACAGTTCGTCCGTGCTACTGCTATAACACTGAAACTACTGGAACACTGTCTGCCCAACTATCCAGGACGTATTGAAATTGAAGAAAGAGACACCGACGGAGTGGTGCAACTGTGGAAACAAACTAGGGCCCAGTCGCTAGCTACTGGTAGATTTTCGAGCCCTTGAGCCCTGTTGTGAGCACTCCGGATGCATGTGTTGTACAAAGTAAATGTGATAGAATTGCATAAAGGTATACCATGAAATATGGCATGACAGTTCTGTTGCCACTTGGAATAGATAGTAGAGGCGAAGTTGAATCTAGAGTGCGAATACACAGCTTTTCGAAGCACAGCCGTAGTGTAGCGTGAAGGCCTTCATCTGTTACATGTACAGGTATGTGATCAATAGGCATATGCGGATTCTGCCGGCAGAAAATTTGGCAGAATTCCGTACTTTTTCTGGTAAGTTTCATGCATGTTTGGTATGTGGATAAAGAAATGGAGCAGAATTCGAGGAATTGCCCGCCATAAGGTTGGTATGGTTCTGCCAATTTCACTGCTTTCGAGCAGAATCTGCCACCTTTTCGAGCAGAACCCGCCGGTCCCTATGTGATTCGTGTTTTCACCTAGTGTGCTTAGAAATCAAACAAGAAAATGTATTTGGTTCTTGACGTTTTGCTGAATTCCACTTTTCGCTGTGTTTACTGCAGATCGTCACTGGTAACACTGGCCGACACCAACACACCATCACCTCATGGACAATCGAGGCGCAGAACCTCTGGCTGTTTGGTCGTGGACGTGATGCACCCGATCTAGATTACTGCTTTCCCTCCTTTCCCCGCAACCCATCTCTATATCCCTATCTCTAACATCGTCACTGATTATTCTCCGATTTTGTTTCCTTTACCCCATATTTTACCACGATTCCCTTAACCCCATCAAAGGCACTATAAATTTAAAACGTTTTCCTAACAAATATGGATGTGTTCTGAGGAGGAGTACATGTCTGGGAAAGTGGTACTGAGTATGTTAAATTTTGGGTGGAATATAGATGTTCGAGGGGGAGTATGTGAGATTGGGGTCGTCTAATTGAGATGAGTGCCAAGTGTCTGAGATTGGCGTGAAGTATATGCGATAGGTGTGGAGTTTGAAAGATGTCCGTGAAGTATGTGTGATGAGCGTGGAGTATTCAAGATTGGTGTGAAGTGTGTGAGATTGGCGTGGACTGTGCGAAAGGCATTACAAGCTATGACAAGGCATTACAGGCTCAGTACAGGTCTGTGAGTTAATCCAGTGATACTGGGGTTAACGTGTAGAGCAACCATTGCCTATCGAACCTGTTGCGGTCCATTCAAATTTATGCAAACGTTTTGTTTCCGGAACCTTCGGGATGATTCAGGTGAATGTTTACTCGTGCTAAGTCTGGATCATGGATGAAGGGTAATCGCTGTAGATTACCTACCAGTACCTCAATTCTCGTACTCACGTGCTATGTGTTCATAGTCAGCATTGCGATTCGTATACACGCTGTTCAACATTCTCAGGTGGAACCTTACACATACGCATGTCATGTTGACAATCGGAAAACCGTAGCCTCATAATTATGCTCTGGTCATCTCACCAACACAATAGGTCTGGTGAATAAGAAGAACGACTAGTTGGGAATAATCAATGACACTACGCACTCTCCCGCTGACAGTGCTCAGCAAGGGTCAATGGAGTGAATAGGTGTCCAGAGTCATGACAAGGGTACCTCTGTAGTCTTTGCATGGGGCGACCCCCAACAACACACACATACATGTACATGCACCACGCACATGCACCCCCCCCCATACACACACATGCAACCCCCCCCATACACACACATGCACCCCCCCCCCATACACACACATGCACCCCCCCCCCATACACCCACATGCACCCCCCCCCCCATACACCCACATGCACCCCCCCCCCCCCCCATACACACACATGCACCCCCCCCCCCATACACCCACATGCACCCCCCCCCCCCATACACACACATGCCCCTCCACCCCCACGTACATATACATGCCCACCAAAGCCAAGTACAAAATGCTGGAACCAACAAGCATCCACAAACATGCCAACATACACAACCAGCGCTGCTGGTGGGCACCATACACAAAGTGTGACTGTAGGCACAAACACTGCCCCCCCCCCCTCCAGGATACACACAAAGTGTGGTTTCTCGCACAAACACTGCCATCACCACCTCCCCCCTCCTCCGACCGCGTACACAAAGTGTGGTTACGTTCTCAAACACGCACACACACCCTATCATAAACACAAACTGTGGTTGCTTGCAAAAAAAACCCACATACACACATCCATAAAAAAGAAAGTGCCCGGGGCACAGAGAAATTGTAGGGGCTTGTGCACACAAACACACATATGCAAAACACACACACACATGCACAAAAAGTGCAGGAGCTAGCTCGTGTTTATACACAGAGCGGTGTGTGCGTACACACATGCATGCACACAACCAGCATAGCAATCCCTTTTCTCATCATCATATCCAAATCTCCATGGTCATGCAAGCAAAGACAACATGTACACACGCATACCATTACATACTCGAATGTAAACTCACATAGAAATTACTAGCAGTTCAAACATCAATGATGAAAGAACAACATAGCGTAGCAGTAGCAGCAGTAGATATGATAATTATAGGCATGAAAGCTTGAGAAATGTCTGCATAATTGTCCTCAATATTAGAGTAGTAAGCTGGCAAATAGCAATCAAAAACATTCAAAAAGAAGAAAAAAAACCCTATCGACGGTCAGAGTCTACGGGCAGGGGTACACAGGGGATCAAAACACTACAAACCTTTTACGCTGTCTGAAGAATTTACAACAATTTACTGAGTTGACATGACTGTGTAATAAAAGTACAAAACAGCATGCATTTTTCAAAATCTTCCACCCTAACAACCAGTCCAAATACTCACACACCATTCAAATCATCCCAACACTCCCTCTCTGTGAACACAGTGACAAGTTGAGAACAAACATTCTCACTCAAGCCGCAGTCGTACACCCGCAGTTCACGTAACGATGTACACGCCTCCACTGCTTCAATGACTCTCGAATCATCATCCTCACTGCCCACAAGCACATTCCCATACAACCACAACACTTCCAGCTGTGTGCAGTGCGCCAACATATCACAGAGTACAGACAACGGTGCAGCACCATCGCTATACAGGTGGCTGGCATTGACAGTGTGCACATTCTTACACTGACTAAGTGCACGGCACACCGCCACAAAACCACTCACACCAACACGGTTACGACTGACAACCACTTCCACAAGACTAGCAGACATGGCTGAAATTAGGGAGGACAATGCCTGACCATCACGAATAGCATTCCAGGAAAGATCTAGTACACGTACACGGCTACACCTCCGTAAGCCTGCTGATAAGCTGTGAAATGAATCATTGCCAATGCTACAATCGTGGAGGTCGACTTCCTCCAAATCACGTGCACAGCCACACAGTAAAGAACTGAGAGCAACACATTCATGAGAAGAAAGAGAAACATAGAGGAGCTTGAGCTTTGATGCAAGCATAGCACGAAAGAATTGGTATGTCCTTTCGCAGGACGCTTCGTGATACTCTGCATGCTCATGATATGCCACCACAAGATGAACAAACACCCTACTTGTAGGAGAATTAACATCAGCAGGGACAGCATTAGCTAGACTTACAATGCGAGAAGAAGTAGCTTGCAGGGAGTCATGACTGAGCAGCACAGCAGCGGGATGAAGGAGACTCTCGCACACCCTCGCCAGCTCAGCATCCACCTGGGATAGCGCTTCCAACAGCACAGTGCCATTTGCAACACTGCCGCTCTCCATCCACACCGTCAGGAGAGTCTTCAGGAATAGCGCGTCTGTGGGCTCTCGGCAGATGGGCATGGAACGGTGCACTCTATGCTCACCATGGCCCTTGCCACGGTCATGCCGAGGAATAAGGAGAATGTCAGCGAGGACTTTCATGTGCTCAGCCTTCAGTACCTCGCAAAGACGGTCGTGGACCTTTGCCATCTCCATCTCACCGGTCAGGACACTTGAGTGGCTGCGCATCTCCTCGGCGAGCTTAGCGGCGGTGGCAACACGTCTAGTGGCAATAGCAGCATATTTGGCGGCATTGGCACCTCTGGAACGGTCGGCCTCATTGCTAGGATCCAGTGGTATGGGATCCGCACACTGCACACGCCAAAGCTCCTCTATGACGGTCAGCGACACGTCTCCCGGGCATAGAGCAATGAGAAACTTCCAGAACATTGTCATATGGCCATCGTATGCGCCTAGTCGCCGTACCAGTGCAATGGCGTGATGTCGTTCTTGCACCATGCACTCTGCCATGAACCATCCGGCCAGGAACTCCTGCAGTGACAGATGACAGAAGCGGTATTGCCGAGCGCCCGTTGACATTGTGCCCTGGCACGTTTGCAGAAGACCCAAGCTGATTGCTTCCTTGCTCAAGTGGGAATTGATGGTGTCGGACGTGTTGAACACCATCCTTTTCAGCAGCAGCATGCGAAACGCAAAACATCCCAGTTCCCTTAGTGACTGGACCACTTTGCTGGGTGCCTGTGAAATCGACTCACAAACCGCACCACCAGCACGCTCTACGACTCGGCGCAGTAATGATTCGTACAGGGATGCGCTGCACTTCCACACGCCTTTGCTGCTCTTGAAAAGCTCACATGTTAGGGCCGCAAACATTGGAGTTACCATGAGACTTGACACATCCGGCTTGCTCTGCAGCTCTGCCAGCAGAATTTCAGCGCGCTGCGTACCGAGAACCTTCTCTGCATACTCTCTCACGTTCTCCGGTGAGAAACCCAGTACTTGAATCTTCTGCTGGTAGTGGCCACACTGCGATAGTTGATATGCATCCGGGCATGGACGGCTTGTGACGATCACGTGTGTCTTCACCATTCCCTCACGTTTCAGCAAATGTCTCATGAACTTACTGCAGCTGGCGAATTCACATTCATCCAAGCCGTCCATGACAAGACATAGACGGCTTGGAGAGTCGCCGAAGTAGCTTGCAAGCTCCAATATCTCAGCCTGCGACAGGCCCTGGGCGTCCAGTTTCACAGCCAACAGCTCAGCAAGACTAGTGGCAGCTCTCACCTCTTTTTCACGGAGCTCCAGTCCTACGACCAGATCAAATTCCTCCTGCCATAGTTCGCCTCTGCTCCACAGGTATAGAACCATGAGCAGAAACACTGTGGTCTTGCCACTACCAGCAGATCCGTACGCCAGTACATTCCGTAACACCTTGCCACAGAGATTCGGTCGCTCGGTCGCTGTAGCTGCTGGTGCAGATTTTCCTTTTGAATGGGAAACGTCGTCAACACTCGAACCTGCGTCACGAAACAGGTTCTTCAATTCAATTCGATTGGCTTTGCTAAATTGAACTGCGTGTTCACGTCTCTCAGCATACGTCGAGAACGCTTCATCAAAGTCTCTTTTCAATTCCTTTTCTGACACCAACGCTAAATTGACGAATATCTGTTTGAGCGGAATGCGGTCATCAGAAGCGAGGCCGCCGCTCTGCTGAACTCCTGTCTCTTCAGCTTGTTCCAACGACTTCTTTTTGGCTTTGACCAGGGATGGCAGCAGAGCCTTGGGCTTTGCGGCGGGCTCCTGAGCCATGGCATCCACTGCTTTGAAAATACAGGTGGATGTGAAAATTCACATTTCCGCCATCGCATTTCGTCTTTTACTGATAAACGAATTGTGATGCCGGAAATCTGATGCCCTGAACGCTGAACAGATCAAACATTTTGATAATAATCTAAGTGCAGGACTGTGTGGTAGATATGTAGAGTCTACAATCAAACTGACATCAGCGTGAATAAGGGCCGAGGCCGAGGCCGGGGCTGCGCAGTGCAGGCGCCTCCGTTTTTTCATGACATCGTATTTCAGTGGACACCAATGCCATGTAATGTCATGGTAGTGTTTTGCCTTGTGCAAGTAGCGAGGTTTTGCATTCCGAAATTCGGCAAAAAGATTCGGCACGCGGGAGCGAGGTCGAAAATGCACACGAAGATTCGGCGTGTTTGTTCGGAAAAAGCTCACTTTGCCGAAAATATTTTTCGGATGCATTTTCTTGTAGAAGAGCGCTAGCGCGTGATTTATTCAAAGAGGTTTCTTATCTCGGCATCGCTTGGCAGGCGTCTTTGGCGACATAACATCGTCAGCTACCTTTGATTGCTCCTCTCCACTGCCTGTCTACTCTCTTTCGCCTGGAGTGTCCTCACCGTCATCTGTGTGGCTGAAAAGACTATGGCGACACGCATAACATTTGACTTGGGCATGGAGTTGGTTTTTCTGAGGCGACTGAGGGGGCAGGTTTGGCCCTCGACTCTTTGGGCGATCAAAGTTCGTTGGAATCAGCAAGAAATGGAGCACGGGACAGGACGTTGCTGATGCTGGGGCTCACGAAATGGAAACACATCATTTTCGACTTGCAAAACAGACGTTGGTGCGAAAATTGGACATTTTGATGTTCGACAAATGACCGAAGAACGCTGTACCGAAATTCGGAATGCAAAACCTCTCTAGTATTACTGTATTTTCGGACGGAAATATTTTCGGACAAAGCCGAATTTCGACCTTTCGTACGGATTCTATTTTTGTACAGTGCTGCATGCTAAATGCACGTGTTCGCATGCGGTACGCATTATGTATAGTGCTAATATCATGTGTCTGCGGGGGGCCCGCTCACCATTAACCATTTCCCTGGCATAGGGGGATGGATGACGCCTCTCCAGATGTTCCTGTTGCCAAAGTAGGCTTTGACGGATTATGCTAATATTTTCGTGAAATTATGCTTTTCGCATTATTATTACTATTATTATTACTATTATTTCGTAATAAGTATTCGCATGCAACGACGCAAATCCACACAATTCAGTAGACACTTCTTTTCTATCAAACGTTTTCTTTCCCTTCTCTTCAGGATAGTACAGGGAATGTTGTAAATTTGAAAAAAACTCATAACTATAATTATAGAGAATGAAAGAAAGAAAAAAGTCAACACTTCAACATTGGTGTTAAAATGATTAATTAAAGTGTTAAAAACTCAAAAACAAACAGCTGCAAGTTGTAGACAAACACGTTGAACACATCAGGGAACACTTGTCACACTTTCACGAGGTGTGACACCAAACAACTGCAACGATAACACATTCTCCTTCTGTACACATAGTTCTGGATCTAGTTTACGAATATACAGAGCTTCTAACACAGCAAGATGTAACTTAGACCTTCCACGAGTCAAAATCGAAAAGATATCATCACTATACAACTTACGACAACTAGCACTGCCCGACAAATGACGCTTGATGGACGATGTCCAAACACTTAGCTCTGTCACCTTCGACGCCTGCCGTTGTTCTCTTCCGTTAGGCTTGTTTGGTTGGTTGTTACATCTTGCTGTGTTAGAAGCTCTGTATATTCGTAAACTAGATCCAGAACTATGTGTACAGAAGGAGAATGTGTTATCGTTGCAGTTGTTTGGTGTCACACCTCGTGAAAGTGTGACAAGTGTTCCCTGATGTGTTCAACGTTCAATTGTCTACAACTTGCAGCTGTTTGTTTTTGAGTTTTTAACACTTTAATCATTTTAACACCTATGTTGAAGTGTTGACTTTTTTCTTTCTTTCATTCTCTATATAGTTATGTGTTTTTTCAAATTTACAACATTCCCTGTACTATCCTGAAGAAAAGGGAAAGAAAACGTTTGATAGAAAAGAAGTGTCTACTGAATTGTGTGGATTTGCGTCGTTGCATGCGAATACTTATTACGAAACTGTTTTCCTACCGCCTCCAAACTACTGTTTGAATTACTATTAACTGGTTTGAGGGAAAGAGACAAACGGGAAAAAGTCTGAAGAAAAAATTGACTGTCACCACCAGGACTCGAACCAGGGACCCTCGCTTGTAGCTAGCGATGCTCTAACCACTGAGCTATGGTGTAGTCGTCATCCCAGCAGAGACTGTTCAACATTTTCTTCAGACTTCGTAACTCACACTTCCTGTGAGTCCACACAGGCGGGTGGGACGCAGCCCTCACCGTACCCACACACTTCACGTACACTCTAGCACGCGGGGAGCCCCAAGTCATAACATCTTCACTAGTTTGAGGGAAAGAAACAAACGGGAAAAAGTCTGAAGAAAAAATTGACTGTCACCACCAGGACTCGAACCAGGGACCCTCGCTTGTAGCTAGCGATGCTCTAACCACTGAGCTATGGTGTAGTCGTCATCCCAGCAGAGACTGTTCAACATTTTCTTCAGACTTCGTAACTCACACTTCCTGTGAGTCCACACAGGCGGGTGGGACACAGCCCTCACTGTACCCACACACTTCACGTACACTCTAGCACGCGGGGAGCCCCAAGTCATAACATCTTCACTAGTTTGAGGGAAAGAGACAAACGGGAAAAAGTCTGAAGAAAAAATTGACTGTCACCACCAGGACTCGAACCAGGGACCCTCGCTTGTAGCTAGCGATGCTCTAACCACTGAGCTATGGTGTAGTCGTCATCCCAGCAGAGACTGTTCAACATTTTCTTCAGACTTCGTAACTCACACTTCCTGTGAGTCCACACAGGCGGGTGGGACGCAGCCCTCACTGTACCCACACACTTCACGTACACTCTAGCACGCGGGGAGCCCCAAGTCATAACATCTTCACTAGTTTGAGGGAAAGAAACAAACGGGAAAAAGTCTGAAGAAAAAATTGACTGTCACCACCAGGACTCGAACCAGGGACCCTCGCTTGTAGCTAGCGATGCTCTAACCACTGAGCTATGGTGTAGTCGTCATCCCAGCAGAGACTGTTCAACATTTTCTTCAGACTTCGTAACTCACACTTCCTGTGAGTCCACACAGGCGGGTGGGACGCAGCCCTCACCGTACCCACACACTTCACGTACACTCTAGCACGCGGGGAGCCCCAAGTCATAACATCTTCACTAGTTTGAGGGAAAGAGACAAACGGGAAAAATACTGAAGAAAAAATTGACTGTCACCACCAGGACTCGAACCAGGGACCCTCGCTTGTAGCTAGCGATGCTCTAACCACTGAGCTATGGTGTAGTCGTCATCCCAGCAGAGACTGTTCAACATTTTCTTCAGACTTCGTAACTCACACTTCCTGTGAGTCCACACAGGCGGGTGGGACACAGCCCTCACTGTACCCACACACTTCACGTACACTCTAGCACGCGGGGAGCCCCAAGTCATAACATCTTCACTAGTTTGAGGGAAAGAGACAAACGGGAAAAAGTCTGAAGAAAAAATTGACTGTCACCACCAGGACTCGAACCAGGGACCCTCGCTTGTAGCTAGCGATGCTCTAACCACTGAGCTATGGTGTAGTCGTCATCCCAGCAGAGACTGTTCAACATTTTCTTCAGACTTCGTAACTCACACTTCCTGTGAGTCCACACAGGCGGGTGGGACACAGCCCTCACTGTACCCACACACTTCACGTACACTCTAGCACGCGGGGAGCCCCAAGTCATAACATCTTCACTAGTTTGAGGGAAAGAGACAAACGGGAAAAAGTCTGAAGAAAAAATTGACTGTCACCACCAGGACTCGAACCAGGGACCCTCGCTTGTAGCTAGCGATGCTCTAACCACTGAGCTATGGTGTAGTCGTCATCCCAGCAGAGACTGTTCAACATTTTCTTCAGACTTCGTAACTCACACTTCCTGTGAGTCCACACAGGCGGGTGGGACGCAGCCCTCACCGTACCCACACACTTCACGTACACTCTAGCACGCGGGGAGCCCCAAGTCATAACATCTTCACTAGTTTGAGGGAAAGAAACAAACGGGAAAAAGTCTGAAGAAAAAATTGACTGTCACCACCAGGACTCGAACCAGGGACCCTCGCTTGTAGCTAGCGATGCTCTAACCACTGAGCTATGGTGTAGTCGTCATCCCAGCAGAGACTGTTCAACATTTTCTTCAGACTTCGTAACTCACACTTCCTGTGAGTCCACACAGGCGGGTGGGACACAGCCCTCACTGTACCCACACACTTCACGTACACTCTAGCACGCGGGGAGCCCCAAGTCATAACATCTTCACTAGTTTGAGGGAAAGAGACAAACGGGAAAAAGTCTGAAGAAAAAATTGACTGTCACCACCAGGACTCGAACCAGGGACCCTCGCTTGTAGCTAGCGATGCTCTAACCACTGAGCTATGGTGTAGTCGTCATCCCAGCAGAGACTGTTCAACATTTTCTTCAGACTTCGTAACTCACACTTCCTGTGAGTCCACACAGGCGGGTGGGACGCAGCCCTCACTGTACCCACACACTTCACGTACACTCTAGCACGCGGGGAGCCCCAAGTCATAACATCTTCACTAGTTTGAGGGAAAGAAACAAACGGGAAAAAGTCTGAAGAAAAAATTGACTGTCACCACCAGGACTCGAACCAGGGACCCTCGCTTGTAGCTAGCGATGCTCTAACCACTGAGCTATGGTGTAGTCGTCATCCCAGCAGAGACTGTTCAACATTTTCTTCAGACTTCGTAACTCACACTTCCTGTGAGTCCACACAGGCGGGTGGGACGCAGCCCTCACCGTACCCACACACTTCACGTACACTCTAGCACGCGGGGAGCCCCAA